CTTCAGTCAGCGTGAGGGTCTGGACTTCTTTCAGACCTTCGCCCCGACCCCGAAGATGACTACTCATCGGGCGTTGTTACACATAGCAGCACAGCGTGACAACAAGCTGCACTCCCTCGACTTCTCCACAACGTTTCTCCAAGGCAGTCTGCACGAGCAGGTCTACGTGCGCCGTCCGCCCGGCTTCACTGGCACCTTCGCCCCTGGGACCCAGTGGCTCCTCCGGCGCCCGTTCCACGGCCTGCGAAAGGCGCCCCGTGAGTGGCACGACACTCTGCGTGCTACGTTAGCTGACCTGCAGTTCTTCCCGTCGTCTGCAGATCCCTCGCTCTTCGTTTGTTCTAGCCAGATTCCATTCTACATCCTTGTCTACATATAGAGGACCTAGTCTTTGCCACTGGAGACAGAGATGCACTGGCCTCCGTGAAGGCTTAGCTACTGAGGAGACACACCTGCATTGACCTAGGAGAGCTGCGCCGCTACTTTGGCCTGCAGTTCTCCAGGGAGAGAGCAACGCGCACCATCACTCTTACATACTGTAGTCTTACTTGGTGCGCCAGATTCTTCAGAGGTTCGGTCTTCTGTTCTCCTCCACACAACCCACACCTCTGGCAGTAGATCACAGGCTCTTTACTCCAGTCCTTGAGGAGTTTGTGGAGCCTAGCGGTCCTTACGCAGAGCTGGTGGGTTGCCTCATGTCCTGTACGTGATGTCTTGCACTCCTCCAGATCTCGCATACTGGTTTGCTTTGTGGCCACAGGTAGACACCGACCACAGCACTGGTCGGTCGCTGAGAGGATTTTGCATTATCTAGCAAGTACATCGCATGGGGCTAGTTCTAGGAGAACGCAGGCCAGTGGTCCTTACAGGGCACACAGACGCTTCATGGGCAGACGACACTGAGACGCTCAGGTCCTCCCTGGGCTACATCTTTAGCCTTGGTGTGGGCGCCATCTTGTGGAGGTCCACCCGCTCGTCGTCTGTTGTACAGTCTAGCTATGAGGCTGAGATCTACGCCGGTGCCATGGCGGCACAGGAGCTCCGGTGGCTGGCCTTCTTGCACACAGACTTAGGTGAGCGGCCTAGCTCTGCCCCGGTCCTGTACGCTGAGAACAGGGCCATGTTCCTTCTGTGTCAGGAGCCTCGACTGGAGGGCAGAGCAAAGCACATCCAGCTGAGGTACTTCCTCATGCGCGAGCTACACCAGTGCCGACAGGCCCGCGTAGTTTACTTGTCCTTCAGTGCCAACACAGCTGATATCTTTATTAAGGCACTTGTGCGTAAAGATCATCAGCAGCACTGTGTACAGCTTGGCCTATTTCATGTAGCTTCTCACTTGCTATGACCTTGATTGTGTACTATATCTTTTATTATCTTGACTGGCCTTGTAGCTCTTATTCCAGTGACTGGACTAGTAGTGTCGCCCTGGGTTGCTCTTGTTTCCTTTGTACTCTTTCAGACTGATTTTCATACCCTTGCATCAGTGGTTGGACTAGTAGTGCCACCCTGAGCTGTGTGTCTCGTGGTCGTTGCCCCTTGTCTAGCCTATGGGGTTCGTCAATATATATTTGTATATATTATAGATTAGATAGGTGCATGCTCATAGAGAGTACAACACATAGGACAAAACCACCTTGCATCACTCAATCAAAAAATTCATTAACTCTGAGAAAACAGCCCGAACCGAAACAAGTGGGAGGACGCGCTACCTATGTTGGAGTTTTCCTACAACAACGCATGCTCAACTACGACTAATCACTCCCCGTTCTACCTCAATTACGGGATGGGCCCAATAGTGCATATCTCCACCAACATCGAGAGTCAATTACCACGACCGCAGCAGTTCGTAGAAGAATTACAGACTGCCGGAGACAAAGTTGTCTAACTTATTCGCTAGGCGAAGCCACTGTCCGACGGTATGCGGATCTACATCAACGGGATATTACCATGGCAGCAGGGCAACTGGTCATTTTGGACACCAAGAATTTACGAATGCCGCTACCGATAAAATTACGACCACGTTTTTGTGGCCCGTTCAAAATCCTGAAGATTGTGACGTCGGTGACCGCCTAGTTGCACCTACCTGAAGATTGGCGTATCCACAACAAGTTCCATGTGATCCTGTTGCGACCCTTCGTACCTCACACATCGGACATCACTCGACAGCGACTAGTCACGGATGTACAGCTACCAACAGAGACGACGATCAATCCATTGAAGATTTTGAGCCATCAGATTCGTATCGACGGCCACGGACGACACGTTGACTTTCTGATACGATGGACTGATTGTACCAGTGAGAACGACACGTGGGTGCCCTCGGACTAGATACAATCACCTTCGGTACTTGTGAATTATTTTGCGCGCAAGCACGTGGCCGATATAAATCACCTTCGCTAAGGGGGTGGGGGGGGGGGGGGGGGGGGGGGGGGGGGTGTAAAGAAGATTCCATTCCTTACCGGGCCGTACTGCTATCGCGTACGCTCGAACACCCCCGAAGCCTCGGCTTAATTCCGGACCTTTCTGACAGATTCGCCTCGGCTTCTCCAGACCTTCCAGATTGACCTTCAGGATTTCTCCGGGCCTCGCTTCGTCACTTCGAGACCCTTTGATCTCCTTCCCGAACCTTCACATCTTACGGCTAAACTAGCCCTGGTGTTCCTATATCTTGGCTTGCCATTGTATCGTTATTCCGTTATTCGACACTTCGATATTCATTTCCGCGCTACTCTGCTTGTTCATTCATAACACTGTGATTGCGACGTAACCTTTTGGCCATGTACAAATCAGCGCGGTCAGAGGTGGTGCTGCGATTAGAAAACGCCCAGATAGAAGACCCGGGCGAATAGAAGACCCTAGGGTCTATTATCCAGGTGTTTTCTTATAAACGTATACTCTGATTATATGACATGGATTTTGTATAGGTATGATATAAGACCCTCCCTGGGTTGTGTAGTCAGAATTTGCTGCCGCAATGCTACCGCTGCTGGCCAAGAATGGTCCAAAATTCGCTGCTTGAAATTGCTTAAAGCGAGGGTCTCAAGAAACAAAAAGCCAAACCCAAAGGTTTTGGTTTCGGGGGGTCTCGAAAATTTCGAGGTGTGGTAAGGGGTGTCAAAGAAGCTTAGGATAGGAACTAAACTTAGGACCCAAGCTTAGCTAGGAAGGAAGGAAGGGCGCCATGGAATGGCGTGCGGAAAGTAGATCTAGGAGCGTGAGGAGAAGTGTTGACGAGAAAGAAAGAGTGACGATTAGGAAGAGAGAGTAGTACAAGGAGGGGATTGTACCCTCTACAGAAAGGTTCAGTAACAACCTACCAAGCCTATATTAAATTATAACTTAAATAATTTTAACACACCCCCTAGGCTTGGTAGTGTCAAGCCCACGCACACCCCCACACCCACACCCACACCCACACCCACACCCACACCCCCTAGCCCAGCACCCCCATTCCCAGCAGGAGCCGCAACGACTCCGGAAGAGGGCAGCTCCCACGGCCCGTGAGATGGCAATGGCGGCAGCGGCGACAGTGACGACAGCGGCGGCGGCAGCGGCGTGCGGCGGCACCAGGCCCGCGGCAACAGCGGCGTCGGCGGCGTGCGGCGACACCAGGCCCGCGGCAACAGCGGCTGCGGCGGCGGCTTGAACGTCAGTGGCCGGTGCAGCGGCCCCCGCCCTCTCGGCGGCATGTCCAGTCTCCTCGGCGGTGGAGAGGGCCCTCATGAGGCAGTCATCGGCTGCAGCAAGAAAGGGGGGGATGCAGGGGAAGCAGGTGCAGGTGGGGGGGGGGGGGGGGAGGGGAGGGGGCGGGGCGAGGCGAGTCTTCAGCGACGCGCCATAAGTGGCGCGGCGCTTACTGGCAGGAGGGTGGGCAGGTGGCGGTTACGACGGCGTGCTGCCCGCTGCCGCCCATCGACGCTGCCGCGGCAGCATGACGACGCCGCCAGAGCGCGGCGTCGACGCTGTGGCGGCACGCCGACGCTGCAACGGCAGCAAGGTGACGCTGCCACGGCAAAGCGTCGACGCCACCACGGCAGGGCGTCGAGGAGGCGACGGCCGCACGACGAAGCCGCCATGACAGGCCTGCATGGCCGCCACGGGGGGAAGCCAGTGACGAGAGAAATGCGCGGCGGAAGCGACGGCACGACAGCGCGACGCCACAGCAGCGCGTCGAGACGGCCGCGGCACGACGCAGCCAACGGCACGACACGAGCGCCATGGCAGCGCGAGAAGCGTGAGTAGGCGGTCCAGCAGGAAGGATCTCCTGCTCTAATAACATGTCAAAGAAGCTTAGGATAGGAACTAAACTTAGGACCCTAGCTTAGCTAGGAAGGAAGGAAGGGCGCCATGGAATGGCGTGCGGAAAGTAGATCTAGGAGCGTGAGGAGAAGAGTTGACGAGAAAGAAAGAGTGGCGATTAGGAAGAGAGAGTAGTACAAGGAGGGGATTGTACCCTCTACAGAAAGGTTCAGTAACAACCTACCAAGCCTATATTAAATTATAACTTAAATAATTTTAACAAGGGGTGCTGGTTGGGCCCTGTAACTGTTTCACAAAGTTCGTCAACCCAAAACCAAAACCTTTTGAATTGGTTTTCTTCTTCTTGAGACCCTCGCTTGAAGTAGCAAATTTCACCCAAGCGCACCATGCAGTAATGATTGCACCCGAATCACAACATTCCTGTTGGCCCACAACTTGATATGGACGTGAGGCAGTATTAGGACATTATACATGCATTTTTTCGTAAACTTAAATGAGTTCCGTTTATAAGAATTATATGGCCCCCTATTCCTTCCGTTTATAAGACAAATTTCCAAATTCTTAGGGGGTATTGGACAAGACGCATGGGTCTTCTATCCGGGCGAATACGGTAACACTGTGATTGCGACGTAACCTTCTGGCCACGTACAAATCAGTGCGGTCGGAAGTGGTGCTGCGATTTGCTCGAAACCTACATCACCGCAACAGTTGCACCTCGCACCTACAACACAGACCTACAGGCAAGCCCCCCGATTCAACACAGATGTATGCCCGCATCAATCCTGCTTTACTTTGGGAGATCGCTTAGGTTTCTGGGATCTTTGACGAGGCCATCAGGTCAACATGTTTTTAGTCGACTGGTTTTATAGCGTTCTAGCAACGCTTGGTCTATGGCAGAAAGAGGCGAAGATATTGTTTCTGGGGCTAGATAATGCCGGAAAGACGACCCTGCTGCATATGTTGAAGGATGAGGTGAGTTGACGCCTCTGTTTGAATCTGATGGTGATGGCGGAGCTATATATCAATGTTTCTTTCCATTGTTAATATGATGGCTCCGTAAATGTAAGTGATTTCATCATTTTTGGTTTGTTGGTGCAGAGATTAGCTCAGCATCAACCAACACAGCATCCAACGTCGGAAGAACTGAGTATTGGAAAGATCAAGTTCAAGGCCTTCGATCTCGGCGGTCATCAGATTGCCCGACGGGTTTGGAAGGACTATTACGCAAAGGTGAGTGGATGCTGCTATGCCGCGCCAATCGTGTCCCTTCATAGTAGCTCTGGACTTGAGTGATTTGATTGTTTCTTCCGTGCAGGTGGATGCCATAGTGTACCTCGTTGATGCTGCCGACAAGGAGAGGTTCATCGAGTCTAAGAAGGAGTTGGATGGACTCCTTTCGGACGACTCTCTGGCGCTTGTGCCGTTCTTGATCCTGGGAAACAAAATCGACATCCCAACTGCCGCGTCCGAAGACGAGCTTCGCTATTCTCTTGGCCTGACTAACTACACGACTGGAAAGGGTAAGGTTAACTTGGCGGAGTCCAACATCAGACCCATTGAGGTCTTCATGTGCAGTGTGGTGCGGAAGATGGGATATGGTGAGGGCATCAAGTGGCTATCCCAGTACATCAAGTAGGTTGCAAGCATTTCTTATTCGAGAATTCTGGAGAACCTAGGTGGCCGTTCGATCTCTCATTGTAGGGGGGCGCATGGCGCTTCTCGGTAAATCCAGTACTTTCTGCTAGACTACTAGGGAAGTGGCACCATGACCAACCCTTGTCAACGACATACTAGGGTAGCTGTATTGTTCAGAGATCTGCAAACATTTTCCATGGTGTCTTTATGTGACTCCATATTGTCAGCAGAACACATGCTTCACTTCACAGCTAAAAAGTCACAGGGACCCCTATGAAGCCATTTTTTCAACCCTAGGCTCGCTGATGTGAAAGGGGGCTTCATGCGGCCACAACTGAGACTGAAGGTGCCCCCAGAGAGTACCGTTTTGTAATAAACCTGGTGGGGGAGAAGCGGGAAACATTCAGGGAACTTGTGCAACCCCGATGTGGCACTTCAAATGGTTGAGCTCCCCAAAAGAGTAAATCGTGGTCATATTGGCTGGTCTAGGGAACAGTCAGGCGGCAATACCTGAAAAAGTCACGCCAGAGAAGCTCGAAGACAAGCCAGTCCATGCTCGGTGCACTTGCAGCCGTGTCAGTGGCTGTCTTGAGTCCAGGTACCCTGAATGGAGGTGGCACAGTAGGAGGACAGCACATGAAACTTGGTCAAGCAGTTGAGCTGGAGACACCCCACCCATCCCTCCCATGCAGAGGCATGCCCCATCACATTAATGCCCATTCTCCTCACGCCGACCGTGTACGCACGCACCTGCTGTTGACTGCTGACTTGTTGGTCAGACGGTGCGCCAGGGACCCCTCAAGCTGCAGCACATGGTGGAAGACTCGGCGAGGAGAAAGGCATCCCATGGCCAGCCACGGGGAGATCTTACACGAGAAGCCCGCTCCGTACTGGCTGCTGTTGGGGGGCGCGGCTTTGGAACCAGCAGCAGCAGCCTTGGACTCAGCCACAAAGCCCGAGAGCTTGCGCAGAGCCTCAGCCTCCCCTCCCTGCAGTGACGACATGGTAGGGCTCTGGCACACGCATGCAAACACAAGGGGTCTCGAGGTGATAGAACGAAGCAAGGGAAAGATAGCTAAGTGGCCATGCTGCGACCTCAACAGAATGGCTGCTTGGCACCCACCTGCGTGGGAGGCTCATTGGCTGAAAGGCCGAGCGCATGCAGGGTGGGGATCTCCCCCGGCTGGACGTTGCCGTGCACCGGCATGGGCTTGAGGTGCTCCGGTGCCTCCACCATGTCCCGCACCTGCACCCACGTGCTCGGAAGAGACGACATGCATGCATGCACACTTCAATCTTACATATATACTTGCTTCATTGTGCCTGTGAATTGCTGTACATGACATTCTAAATTGACACAAAAATCACTTGAGAGAAAGGAGACAAAGACCAGAGAGACCAACAGGGCAGGGGGGTGAAGAGGTGGAGGCGATGGTGTTTGCTTGAGACCTTGACTCGTGAGACGGCTTCACGGAATCCGCTGTAGTTGGAGGGCATGTGGGGCAGGGCGAAGGGAAGATCGTCCAAGTGGAAGAGCGTGCTGCCCCAGAATGTCTGCGTCTCCACTCCCTCTTCCTGCCATGGCCGCCACCACACACTCACACACTCACTCACATGCACGCACAAAATCGCGCTCGCGCGCGCGCACACACACACACACACACACGCGCGCGCACACACACATACATGCATGAACGCGTCCAAGTGAAGGACGTATGAGTGCATACACATGCATTCCATATGCCCACCAGCTTTCCTTCACCAATAGCGGACAGAGCTGGCACCTTGACCTGCCTCCCACCTTGACCTGCCTCGCACCTTGACCTGCCTCGCACCTTGACCTGCCTCACACCTTGACCTGCCTCGCACCTTGACCTGCCTCGCACCTTGACCTGCCCCGCACCTTCCCCTGCCCCGCACGCACCTTGACCTGCCTCGCACCTTGACCTTCCCCGCACCTTCCCCTGCCCCGCACGCACCTTGACCTGCCTCGCACCTTGACCTGCCCCGCACCTTCCCCTGCCCCGCACGCACCTTGAGCTGCGCGGCCACGGTGCGCTCCACGTCCGTCTCCTCCGCGGTCACCTCCTGCTGCAGGAGCACCGCCTGCGCCCCCACCGCTCGTGCCACGCGCACCAGCACCTCCTCGGGCCGCCCCACGCGCACCACCAGGTCGCTGCCGCGCACCCGCAGCGATGCGCGCAGCGCCGCCACGCACTGCAGCAGGAAGCGCGCGCGGTGCGGCCCTGTGCGGTCAAAGCCCGACGCGGACTTGCCTGCACGCAGGGGAGGCGGGCCAAGAGGGAGGCGCTGTGGCGGATGACAGACTCACGGCCTGGCAGGAGCAGCAGGTGAGAGAGAGGGGTGGCAACAATGAAAGAGCGCCAGCCAGACATCAGGGGAGGTGGCAAAGAGGCAGGAGGGCGTGGAAGCGGCGGGAAGGGCGAACCATAATCGCGCGGATCAAAGCAGTAGACGGGCAGCACGGCAGCGGCGTCGTTGTTGGCTGCAGCAAGCGCCTCGTTGTCGTGCAGGCGCAGGTCGCTGCGGAACCACAGCACCACCGTCTTGTGTGCGCCCGCCGCACCCTTGGGGTCGCTGCTAGCCGCGCATGAAGGGGGTGAGAGGTCGGGCGGTGGTAGAGGGAGAGCACACCAATGGGAGATACACGAGCGAGGGGAATGAGAGGGAATGGAAGCAGCGAGGGAGCAAGGGAGATGATGGCAACGTCTGACAGTGATTGGACGGCGCAAAACACGCTCCAGTGATCTCTGCATACCATGTGTTTCCGGCTTGCCGTCCCAGGTGCATCAGATCAGGAAACGCTGTCGTTTGCTTCGTGGGGCCCAGAGCTGTTTGTGCAGGTGACACCTCAGCAGCCAGCCCGTTGGCGGCTGCCACGTGGCAAGCAGGCATGACGGGCATGGGGGTGAGGCTCTTGCTCTGGAAGGACACGGCAGGGCGCGCAGCTGACACCGCAGCCAGGTGGACGAGGGGGGAGGGGGCAGGGCGGACGAGGGGGGCAGAGGCGGAGAGGGAGGAAGGGGGGCGGGTGGTGGGACGCAGCAGCGGTGGGGCCGCAGAGGAGAGGACAGAGGCAGAGAGGGCGAGGGAGAGAGAGGCGAAGGCGGGGACAGGGAGAGGGGGAGGGGGAGGGGCGGAGGGAGGAGCAGCAGGCGGCAGCAGTGGTGCGGCGAGATGGGCGGCTGCAGCGGTGGGGGAGGGGTGGTGAGGACGAGGCACAGTGGGCTTGGGAGGGGCCGAGGGCACCGAGGAGGCGGACAGCGGGGGAGAGCAACCCGGTGCTGACGTGGCAATGTTGTGGTCCGACAGCATGGCCAGGTCATCAAAGTCGAGGGACGGCGGGTCGGCGGTGGCGTGAGTGGGGAGTGGCGGCGGGAAGAAGGCAGCAGCAGTGGCGCGAACCACGCCCGCCATGGCGTCGCCCAGCGCGTCAGCCGCCGCAGTGCAGCCCGCCCGCCACACCACACACCGCACGTCGTTCCACCTCTCCTCCCCCACCGCCTGCCTCACGACTGCCCGCCTCTTCTCCTCCCCTTCCCCACCCCCCACGTCCACCGCCACCGCGTGCGCCCACACGCTCCCCCCAAGCGCCGTGCCCACCGCGCTCATCACCAGCCCCTCCGCCTCAATCCTCCCCGCGCATCCCCCAACAAACACGATGACGTCAGCAGGGCGGGCGGCCAGCAGGTGCTGGCGGAGGCGCAGAGCCGCGGCGAGGGCGTCCGCCTCGTGCGCGGGCGGGGAGAAGCAGGCGGCGGCTATGGTGGCGCGCAGAGAGGCCCGATTGACAGCGCGCTCCGACACGCGGAGAGATGCGCCGGGCTGGGGGAGGGGAACAGGGCGACGAAAACAGCGTTAGGAAGAAGAGAAGAAATGAGAGGAAAATGGCGAGGAATGGCATGCGTTGGAACGCCGTGTCCCACCTTGGAGAGGGCCGTGCCGTCCACGATGGCGGCCGCCGCGAGGCCATTGGCGACGGCTGCGACGGAGGCCGCATCGCAACCGACCAGCAGCACTGTCGCATGACGAGTCGTCGAATTCGCATGGAGGCGTGCGGCGATAAACCGATCGAGAGCGGAAGTGGAAGCCATAGTTGCGAAGCTGCTGAGGCAGGAGGCGGTATGTGACAAGGGGCGAGATGGAAGGGAGTATGAGGGGGCGAAAGTCAAGGGCTTGTTCACATTGCAAGCCCAACATTCGTTTCTGAACTGGCTTTAACTGCTCTAAATGTCATAGATGTCACAATATAAGGAGCCGTTATGCTAGACATTCCACTTGAAGGACAATAAGAAAGCGCAAAATTTATCAGGTGCTGTTGGAAATATCTCAAGGACTTAAGCGTTTCTGAAGTGTAACACTGTACTCGAGGAAGATTACAGGGGAGCACGCGAGTCAACGGAGGTTACACGAGGGGGCGGACAAAGAATGCGAAAGGACTCGAAAGGTCGCAACTGGAGGTTGCGACTGACCGTTACAACATCACGGATGGTAACCGAAGCGGCAATCGAGTCGCTGTGCGACTCGATAAACCGTTCCTGTAACTGTATTCTACAACTGCTTCCTTATCTTCTATATATTGCTGTATGCTTGTTTCTTTAATCAATCACTTGTTCTCACATACTAGTACAAGGGTTCAACTGCCTCAACTTCCGCTGCACTACTCCAAGTCTCAAGTCTCTACAGCTGGGACTTAGTCTCTGCAAAAGATCCTAAGGGCTTTTCTCAGCCCAACATGGTATGAGAGCTGGTCAGAGACCAAAACTCCCAGCAACTACACTCCATCAACAACCAGCAACTCAACTTGATTCAACAACTCCATTGATTACAAGACATGGACAACAAGGGCAAGAAAGTCTCTACGGGCTCACCCAGCGCCCAAGAAACTCAACACGGCAACTCTGGTCTGCACACCTCAGGACTGCAGACAGAGACCGGGACTACTCAAGAAACAACGGGAAGAGTACCAGAGATGGTGACTCCGTCTCCCTCTTCAAGTGTGGACCCGAATCTCATGGAGAGATTCTTCAGCTTCATGTCACACTTCGACCAGCAGCAGCAGACAAGGACACCTGCGCACTCAACACAGAGCAATGGAGGGAATATGGGATTAGCGCCGATGAGCCTCGACAACTCATCCTTCGGGCGACACAACCAAGCGCCTACCTTTGCGCCTTATCATTCTTCGCCGGGGACGTTCGAATTCATGCCGCCCCGTGCCCAGCCAACAGCAGCTGCTTCACAACAAACACCGAATGAAATCTTAAGTTTACAGGCGCAGTTCTCACACGTGATCAAACTTCAGACATCCTCACCGTTCAACGGACACGACTTCTTTACCTGGAGCTTCGAGTTCGAGCTGCTGATGGAGGCCGCGCATCTTCTGGGATACTTCAACGGGTCCCTGCCATTCCCAAGCAACGGCACTGGGAAGGAACAAGAGATCTTCACGTATCAGTCGCTGCTGGCGTACACGGTACTCCTGAGAAACCTGTCACCACAAGAGCAGCAGAGCATCAGAACGTATCGGAGTTATGGAAACTCCGCGGAGCTCGCATGGCACCACCTCAAGTGCCTTTACCAAGCAAACGACAGCGTGACACAAAGCAGACTCATGCAACAGCTGACAACAATACAGATGAAGACCGGGGAAAAGGCGATGCAGTATATGAGTCGCTGCCAGACCCTCCGCGACCGCCTGCTTCGGTGCGGAGGAACGATCACTGAAGAAAGCTTCGTAACACTTGTCCTCGCCGGGCTCGGGCCAGAATGGAGAACCACACGATCACTTCTTCGAGCCCACGGAAGAATTTCGGAGATGCACCTCTGCGCCGAGCTTCACGCTGAACAACAGGAGATGGATCTGTTCGAGGAAAGACAACCAAGGAAGCAACAGCAGTTAGTCTTCTACACTCAAAGAAGAAATGACAACAACTACAACCGACGCAGCAAGCAAGATCAACGCGACAACCGAGGACTCACCATCGTGCCGCCGTTCTGCCACAACTGTCAGACTTCCGGGCACTCCAAGGTCAACTGCAACCGCCCTCGCGTTTACCGTGCAGCAGACCCACAAGTCGCTTCCACTCAAGCAAGTCCTCCAAGGCGCTCTTCAACATCTGCACAACAAACACCCAACATCATCAACTGCATGGTACACATCGACAACTGCGCACCCGCTTCACCACCCACTTACGCACCAGACGAAGAGGAATTCCCGCCGCCGCGCTCGCAAGGACTTCAGGTCAACCCGACATACGCTGCAGTCGCTAACGCCGAACCCACCGGGCGGAACACCTGGTTCTTGGACAGTTGCTGCGGTCAGCACATGTGCTCCTCCGGACGCTTCGTACAACACGAGCGACGCCTCAACCGCGACGTCGTCATCACCGTCGCCAACAACGAAAACCTGAAAACAAACAGACAAGGCGTGGTTCAGTTACAATCAATGGAGACAAACGTTATTCTTCAGCTCAACAAAGTCCTCATCGTCGACAATCTGGGATACAACCTACTAAGCGTAAGCCAACTAATGGCTAAGGGGATTCACCTGGAGTGCGACTCCTTCTCCAACGAGTTCCGACTTTACCACGGGAAGGGCGGCCTCTTCATCGGTCGTGCCCTCCTGAAGTCCGGTGTCTTCGTGTTGGACTTCGTCCCCGACCGCGGAACTGCCGACAGCGATGGCATCGTATCGTTCGCCGCCTGGACTCACCCGCCGGATCTTGATCCCGACTTCGACAGTGACGGCTTCTGGCACTCCAACACCATACCTGCAGCAGAGAGAACACGAGCATTAGCAGTTATCAGACAAGAAAGACAAGTACCCGCAAGTGTCCCAACAAAACCATCACCTGCAGTATCGGCAGCAGGACCCAGCCGAGTACCACCACCATCAACACGAGGACCGCCAACGGAAGCAGACCAACTTATGCCCGCCACACGAGAAGCTTGTCGAAGTCCCGCCTCGGTCGTCGCGTTCTTCTCCAACGCCGACATCTACCACCGCTCGCCCGGTCACCGTGCTCCCGACGACATCTGGCACCAACGCCTCGGACACCCTGCAAACAGCACAATACTTCAAACAATCCAAGCAGAGGTGTTAGAACGTAACGCCCTTCTAACGACGAGCGGCCAAGAACTTCGCCGACCAAGAGCACGATGCTTCACGTGCCCCGAAGCAGATCTTCCTCATCAACCCTTCCCATCCCATCATAATCCAAGCGCGCCTGCATATGCAACGATGGAAAAGGTCTACAGCGATATTCTAAACATGCCTCGAGACGACACCGAAGCCGACTTCAACTACGTCATCACGTTCATCGACGCCGCAACCAGATACGTCTGGCACTTCAATCTCAAAACGCGCGATCAAGCCTTCGAGGCCTTCACCACATGGCTTCCAATCGCCGAACGAGAGTCAGGAACCAAACTCAAGAGTTTCCAGTCAGACGGTGCACTGGAATACCAGTCACAACGCTTCAGGACCTATCTCGCGGAAAGGGGAATCCGACGCCTGGTGTCTCTGCCCTATGCTCACCAGCAGCAGGGGGTAGCAGAACGCATGAACCGGACCTTGCAGACGACGATGCGAAAACTGCTTCTGGGGATGAGGCTGCCCAATACACTGTGGCCAGACGCGATGACACATGCAGTCCACCTGCACAACCTGTTGTCCTCGTCATCACTCCCCAACAACGCATCACCGCACCTGCTGTGGACGGGAAAAAGGGGCAGCACAAAATTACTTCGAGTTTTCGGCTGCATGGTACACTACAGACCCCACACAGCTCGAGCAGGACGCTTCACTCAACGAGCTCGGTGGGGACTACACCTCGGCATCGCCAAACATTTTCACGCGTGGAAGATTCTCGACATACACGACAAAAATACGGTGGCATCACGTGATGTTATCTTCTACGAGCGACTGACGCTGCAGCATTACCTGGACAACATTGCCAACTCAGACGACCCCACCGACGGCTTCGCGGGCCTTCGCTCCTTCGCTGACCATGCTGCCGAGGCTGACGCAGCAGAAGAAGACGTCCCTGGAGCCTCGGAGGCTGCCGGACCACTCCCCTACTGCTCCGTACCTGTTCCACTCGATGAAGATAATCCCCTCGATAGCAACAACCTCGACACCTTTTACCACTTCGCTGACCAAGGCTACGCTACACCACACCCCGTCGACTCGAATATTTCCGAACGCATCGGGCCAAACTTCTTACCCGATCCTGAAGACGGTGATGAAGCAGCTTATCCCGAGAATGAAAACTCCCCTCGACACACAGCCACGGGACTGCAGATCCTAGGACTATGGGTCTCCGTCCAGCACCCGCCGCCGCCTTCTCCGCGCGAGCCGTCGACCCTGTCGCAGGCTCTGGGGGGGGAACATAAGGCACAATGGAAGGAAGCGATGGAAAAAGAGTTAAAAGCTCTGCAAGACCGAGAAACATGGAAACTGGTACCTGCAACGAGCATCAACGGGAAGAACATTCTCTCGGGGAAATGGGTGTACCGCATCAAGACCAACTCAGACGGCTCCATCGAACGATTCAAAGCTCGATGGGTCGTACGAGGCTTCGATCAACGATACGGAACCGACTACACAGAAACCTTCGCTCCAGTCTCCCGTCACACCTCTCTGCGCATCCTACTCGCCATCGCGGCCACGAAGAAACTACCACTACGGCAAATCGACGTTGCAAACGCCTTCTTGTACGCACCTGTGGACGCCGAAATCTTCGTCGAACAACCCCACGGATTCATCGACGACCCTTCAAAAGTATGCCAGCTGGAAAAATCCCTTTACGGGATCAAGCAAGCCCCACGGCTCTGGCAGCAGCACCTTCACGGCCGGCTCGTAAAAATCGGATTCCTACAGCTACCACATGACCAAGGCATGTACCGACTACAGAAGGGAAGAGATTACATTCTGCTCATCGTCTACGTCGACGACCTGCTCTACATCGGTTCTACCACCGACATCGTCACCTGGTTCGAAGGGGAGCTGAAAAGGGACCTGACGCTCACGGTGTCCGACGAGGTGACGCAGTACCTAGGACTGAACGTCGTCGAAGACGACACGGCGTTCTACCTACACGCTGGAAAGTACTCAAGCACCGTCGCGAAGAAATTCGGTCTAACACCGACTGCGGTCCCAACTCCCTACCGCTACGGGAACAACAGTAGCGCCTCCACAAAACTCCCCGCGAAACAAATCCAGGAGTATCAACAGAAGCTCGGCTGTCTACTATTCGCAACAGTAACCTGCCGACCCGACCTATCCTATAGTGCGAGCCAGCTGGCGACACATCTGAAGCAGCCGCAACAGGAAGATCTCGAAGAACTCAATCGAGCGCTACTCTACTTCGTCTCCACGCCGACGATCGGGCTCACCTACAACAAGGCAACAACACCGTCCGTACGACTACTCGGATACGTCGACGCCGACCACGCGGGAGACAGCGAAAATCGACGGTCTAGGACGGGCTACATCTACCGACTAGAACCTATCGGAACTATCTCCTGGCAGTCGAGCAAGCAGGAGTTAATCGCACTATCCTCGGCTGAAGCAGAGTATATCGCCCTTTGTACTGCGACCAAGGAAGGACTCTACCTACGAGAGTTACTCGAAGAAGCGAAGATCGCGACCCTGCCCACCTTCTCACTCCTCTGCGACAACCAATCTGCGATAAAAATCGCGAACAAGGACGGCTTCGCCAACCGAACCAAGCACATCGCCCTGCGGTACTTCTTCGTCAAGGATGAAATCGCGAAGGGGAGACTTCAACTCAGTTACTGCCCGACGACAGAAATGGCCGCAGATTATCTGACGAAGAAATTGGCGAAAGCAAAATTCGACTACTGCATGCTCCTAACCGGGCAAACAAACGTCACCGGATCTGAACACTCCAGCACTCCAGAAACGAAGGGGAGTGTTGGAAATATCTCAAGGACTTAAGCGTTTCTGAAGTGTAACACTACACTCGAGGAAGATTACAGGGGAGCACGCGAGTCAACGGAGGTTACACGAGGGGGCGGACAAAGAATGCGAAAGGACTCGAAAGGTCGCAACTGGAGGTTGCGACTGACCGTTACAACATCACGGATGGTAACCGAAGCGGCAATCGAGTCGCTGTGCGACTCGATTAAACCGTTCCTGTAACTGTATTCTACAACTGCTTCCTTATCTTCTATATATTGCTGTATGCTTGTTTCTTTAATCAATCACTTGTTCTCACATACTAGTACAAGGGTTCAACTGCCTCAACTTCCGCTGCACTACTCCAAGTCTCAAGTCTCTACAGCTGGGACTTAGTCTCTGCAAAAGATCCTAAGGGCTTTTCTCAGCCCAACAGGTGCCATGCTATGACACAAGAAATCTTTTTTGTGCTATCCTATGAGAAAGTGCAGCTGGTATGGTAGCATCAATTGTAATGGTCTATCGTTTTAGATGTTCAACTTAGATTCTTCAAGAGCTTATAATGATGAGGACATGGATCAAACCTCCTCGTTTAGAGCTGATGCACAGATGAAATGTCATGCGCTGCACCTGTCGTAAATATCAGTGCAGTGAGCTCCAGCGTGGATGGGTTGCGATTGGTCCGGCAATTTGGATCAGCGCCGTGCATTCCGCCCTTCCTGGCTCTCATCTCGAGATCATCCTTTCGACTCGTCAACGGCCGTGCCTCGTGCTGCTGCCTCCTACTGTACCTCCACCCCTCCGCTGCCCCTACCCCTTTCCATCACCCCAACCCCAACCCCAAGCCAACCCGAACACGCCACCTTTATTGCGCCTGCCTTCCATTCCACCCATCCCATACATTGCACGCCATCGCTGGACAAGAGCTCATAGAGTATCTCACGGTAGTCCCTTCCTCTAGATTTGCTCTGACCAGTACTGCTTTGCCCGCCATGGCGGAAGCTACGCTTTCCTCCGCCTCCGCCAAGTTCGCAACGTTCGACGGGCTTCGCGGCACTGGCAATGGCCGATCCAGCCGTGTCGCGTCCGTTGCCCCGTCGGCAGCCACGTCGCCATCTCTCGGTCGCGTTCAAGCTACCGCCACTGTAAGCGCGCTTACGCCGAGGCTAGTTCAATGTAGTTCCGCCTTTTCGGCTGGAATCCGGACTTCAACAAGATCCGCCTCTTGACCTGAAGGTTCCGCATTCTCCCTCCCTCTATACGCGGTCCTCGTTTATGGCTCGACCCTTCGTCCGCCTTGGTGATGAGCGCTGCGCCGTCCACGTCAGCTGACCTGGATCAGGATCCTCAGAAACAGCAACCTTTAATATGCTCACCGTGGTATCGAGAATCGTGGCTGTCGTGATTTTGATACCCCGTGGGTTGTCCCATTCAAACGCCGACCGCTGCGAGGCACTGCCATGACCTCTTGGCGCTCGGCATGTCTTCATGTGCATGCATGCTCGTCTGCTCGCGTGTCGTGTGCAGCCCGTGCAGCCGCCGGCAGCGGCGCCGGCGAAGCGGAGCAAGGTGGAGATCTACAAGGAGGAGAGCAACTACCTGCGCTACCCGCTCATCGACGACCTCGCAAACGAACTCCCCAACGTCAGCGCCGCCTCGGAGCAGGTGCGCCCAGCTGCCTCCCCCTTGCCTGGCGCGCACCCTGTCGCTGCGCCTGCGTGAGACCGTGGCGACGGTCGCGAGTGTCGTTCAGGAGGCATCGCTGTTGCTAATTCTCGCCACTCACCGCTCGTCACTATCGTGCGGCGATCGTGTGTCCAATTCCATTGTGCGTTCCCCCCTGCAATGCCTGCTTCCCTCCGTATGTGCCTCTCTGTGTGTGTGTGCGTGGCGCGTGCACCCCATGGGCGGCCCGCAGCTGATCAAGTTCCACGGCAGCTACATGCAGGACGACCGCGAGGCGCGGCAGGGGGGCGGCGGGCGCGCGTACCAATTCATGATGCGCACGCGGCAGCCGGGCGGCAAGGTGGACAACCGCCTCTACCTCGTCATGGACGACCTCGCCGACCAGTTCGGCTCCGGCACGCTCCGCCTCACCACCAGGCAGACCTTCCAGGTGCGCCCTGCCACCAGGCAGACCTTCCAGGTGCGCCCCGCCACCAGGCAGACCTTCCAGGCGCGCCCTGTGCTGCTCAACGAGCGCCCGAGCTACCAAGCTGCGAGCTCATGTTCGCGCTGCCAACACTTGCTGTGCGCGCCTACCAGCTGCGCTCATCTCCTTCTCCCTCTCTCCCCTCCCCTCCACCCCCCCACCCCCCCCCCCCCGCGGGCGCGCGCGTGCAGCTGCACGGCGTGCTGAAGGCGAATCTAAAGGAGGTGTTTTCGACGGTGATCCGCAACATGGGGTCCACGCTCGGCGCGTGCGGCGACCTCAACCGCAACGTGCTGGCGCCCGAGGTGCCCTTCGTCGACCGCCCGGGGTACCGCTACGCGCAGGAATACGCCGATAAGATCGCCGCGCTGCTCGCGCCGCAGTCCGGAGCCTACTATGACGTGTGGCTCGACGGGGAGAAGGTAGGCACGGACGTGGGGCCTGCGCATTCGGGGGGATCCTGGTTTGGTAAATGTAACGGAATTCATGAGGCTGCTAAGGAAGTGGCTTTTGCTTTTGCTTTTGCTACTTGTTGCATCCCGCGCCTCACACATATGTTTCCTCTGGCGCCCATATGGATGCTTTGTGTCCACCGTACGGATGCCTTGTGTCCACCGTACGGATGCCTTGTGTCCACCGTACGGATGCCTTGTGTCCACCGTACGGATGCCTTGTGTCCACCGTACGGATGCCTTGTGTCCACCGTAAGGATGCCTTGTGTCCACCGTAAGGATGCCTTGTGTCCACCGTAAGGATGCCTTGTGTCCACCATGTGGATGCCTTGTGCCCCACATGGCTCCCCCCGCCTCCACCCCGCCAGGTGCTGTCAGCAGAGGAGCCAGCGGACGTGGTGGCGGCGCGCGCAGACAACCGGTTCGGGACGAACATCGAGGGCAGCGCGGAGCCGATCTACGGCACGCAGTACCTGCCGCGCAAGTTCAAGGTGGCCATCACGGTGCCCGGCGACAACTCCGTGGACCTGCTGACCAACGACCTGGGGCTCGTCGTGCTGTGCGACGAGTCCACCGGCCAGCTGCACGGCTTCAACGTCCTCGTGAGTCCCGCCGGGGGTGGCGCTCCGGGTTGCGGGCGGACGATGGGGGACACGGGGTGGACCTGCTGAGGTGCAAGGGACCGCATTCGACCCCACTGCACCACACCCTAGGCCGCAAGCGAAATTCGCAAGAGTGGGGTCTGCCTGTCTTCCACATGTCTCCCTGCCCTCTCACTCTGCCCTCTCACTCTGCCCTCTCACTCTGCCTTGCTCCCTCGTCCTGCTCCCTCTCCGCATCGCCAGGTGGGCGGCGGCATGGGGCGGTCGCACCGCAACGAGCAGACGGAGCCGCGGCTGGCGGAGCCTCTGGGGTTCGTGGCGGCGGAGGACGTGCTGTACGCCGTCAAGGCCATCGTCGCCGCGCAGAGGGACTACGGCCGCCGGGACGACCGCAAACAGGTTGGGGGGGGGGGGGGGGGAGGGGTAGATGTGCGAAATGGAAGAGGAGGAATGCCCTGTGCAGCTTGGTTGTGCAGCCCCGCGGTTGATGCTTCCACGACTTCCATTCCCAGGCTTCTGCTCACCGCCATGCGTCCTGCCCTCCCTCCGCCCGCAGGCGCGGCTCAAGTACCTCATCCGCGACTGGGGCATTGACCGGTTCCGCACGGTGGTGGAGCAGTACTTGGGCAAGCCTTTCCAGCCCTTCCGCCCGCTGCCCGAGTGGCAGTCCAAGCCCTACGTAGGGTGGGGCGAGCAGGTGCGATGCTGCATTGCATGGGGTGAGCAGGTGAGATGCTGCATTGCATGCGGCGAGCAGGTGAGGTGCTGCATTGCATGCGGCGAGCAGGTGAGGTGCTGCATTGCATGGGGCGAGCAGGTGAGGTGCTTTATCCTGCATGGATTGCGTGTAGCTTGCCTCCCCACCCCCCCTCCCTCCCCCCTTTCTTCCTACGCCGTCCTCCCCACCCCTCCGTCACATATGTGCAAGCATCATGTGGTTCTGGGTGCGCCTGGCCTACTTGCCCCCACTCACCATCTAGTTGCACGTCCCACCCCACCGCACCCCATGGCGTGGCAGGGCGACGGGCGGCTGTACTACGGGCTGCACATCGAGAACGGGCGCATCAAGGGCGAGGCGAAGAAGGCGCTGCGGGCAGTCATTGAGAAGTACAACCTGCCCGTGCGCATCTCCGCCAACCAGAACCTGCTGCTCTGCGACGTACGCAAGGCGTGGCGGCCGCGCATCACCCAGGAGCTGGCTGCCGTGGGCATCCTGGTGAGAGGGGGGGCATCCTGGTGAGACGGGGGGGGCATCCTGGTGAGACGGGTTGATGGGAGGGGGCATCCTGATGGGAGACGAGGGGGGGGCATCCTGATGACACATGAGGGTGGGGGTCTTGGTGAGGGGGTGACGTGGGGAAGAGGGGGGGAGAGGATTCATGTAGGGGGTTGATGAGAGTGAAAGAGGCTTCACACACACAGACACGCAGGCACACACACGCATACACCCCTGTGTGCAGGCACTTGTTGCCGCGCATCAGTGCCCTGGTGCCGCAGTTCATCTCTCTGCCATCCTCGTCCCCCTGTATCCCGCCCCGCCCCCTGTCCTCTCCCCCCCCCTCCCCCCCAACAGGGCAAGCAGTACGTGGATCCGCTGAACCTGACGGCCATGGCGTGCCCCGCGCTGCCGCTCTGCGGGCTGGCAATCACCGAGGCGGAGAGGGGGCTGCCCGCCGTGCTCAAGCGTATCCGCGCCATGCTCGACAAGGTTGGGGGGGGGGGAGGGGGAAGGGGGAAGGGGAACAAGGTGTGGGGAGGGGGGACTTTAAGACTGAGTCAAGGCATGGGGAGGTGGCCACGACATTTGAGGCATGTCGGGGATGACGTGGTTTTTTGCGTGTAAATGCGTTGGAAGCCGTGTGCGCATGGTTTAACGTGCTCTCTTCTCCTTGCTGTGGGTTGTGCTTGGCATTCCTCCCTACTCCCCTGTTGGCTGGCATGGCATGGCATGGCATGGCATGGTGTGGGCGGTGCACAGGTGGGGTTGCGGCAGCAGCAGGCGCACTCGCTGGTGGTGCGCATGACAGGGTGCCCCAACGGCTGCGCGCGGCCCTACGTGGCGGAGCTGGGCTTCGTGGGTGACGGTGCCAACACCTACCAGGTGACTTGGCCTTTGCCAGTGCTGCACCCTGTTTCGCCGTGTGTGCTTGCCACACCACAGTAGCTTCCATGCTGCCACGTGCTAGGTGCTGAGCACTGGGTCGCATGGCCAGTGGCTCGTCGTGTGCCACCCTTTTCGCTCAGACTGCACACGCAGCTGCCTTCACCACCAACAACTGCTCTCTGCTCGCGACTCCTTGCTCCCCCGTTCCTCCATGCCATGCTTGTGCCCCCAGCTCTGGCTGGGCGGCACGCCGAACCAGACGAAGCTGGCACGGGTGTTTCTGGAGAAGGTGAAGGTGGGCGAGCTGGAGGCGGTGCTGGAGCCGCTCTTCGCCATGTGGAAGGCGCACGGCGCCAAGGCCGAGTCCTTTGGGGACTTCACCAACCGTGTGGTCAGTGTTGCGCCCTGCTCCCTTGTACACTAGTGCTCTAGTGGCTTATAGTAAGGGGGTGTGCTGTGGTGCTTCAGATGGGCCCGTGGGAGTGTGCGCCAAGCCCTCATGCATGTGTAGTGTGGTGGTGTGTGGTGGCAGGGCTTTGAGGCGATGAAGGAGTTCATGGCGGGGTACACAGCGCCGGTGGCGCGGCAGCGGGGCATGGCGCGGCGCATCACAGTGGACGATGAGCTGTCCAACAAGCTGCAGGAGGTGGCCAGGCAGCGCGGCACCACCGTCGCCAAGCTCACCCGGGAGGCGCTGCTGCAATACCTCGCAGAGCAAAAGGAGTAGGTGCTAGCTGTATGCAGTTGAGTTAACATAAATCCATCTGTGATGTATTCCCATGTATGCTTTCTTGGAGCCACTCTTCAGCACGACACATCTCTAGGGACTGTTGTTGAGTCCGGGCCCTCAGATTCGTTTTAGGCCACGCTGATTGATCAGTGTCAATCTCAAAAAACACCCTGAAAATTAGTTTTTGGTAGTGGTTGTCTTACTGGTTGGCCCTGGTTGTTTCGTTTTCAAGGTTGATTCATCAGGGTTGGTACAAGGAAACACCCTGAAAAAAAGCAAATTCAGCGTATAAAGCCTGATAACTATGGGCCTTGAGTCATTGACTACCTCAACGACGCACTTGCTATCTGTACACTGTAAAACAGTACCTGACCGCTGCTAAACTCTGGAAATCTGCCAGGTCTCTAAGCTCTACCTACAGTACTAGAATGAAAAGAATAGGAAGTATTTCTGGGTGGTGTCTGCTTGTGCCCTTCACGAGTGGTGAGAATGAACCAGCTTATCAGGATCCTCCATTGTCACCCCCACGCCACTGAGGGTTGACCTAGCCAGTGAGGGGCACCATGGAGAAGCGGCGGCCAGTGAGGTGCAGCCACGCCTTGCGCGTGTCGACGATCATGTGGTGCTGCCGGCACTCCAGGCAGCAGAACGCCTTGTCGCCCCTGCGGAGCCAAGCGCGGCGAGGTCAGCATGCATGGCGCAGTCACGTGAATCCATGGGAAGACGGAACGGAACCCACAACTGGCCAAGGCAGCAGCGCGGAGCTCACCGGTACATGAACGCGTCCGAGTGCTCCAGGCTCCGCCGGCAGAAGCTGCAGCGCTTGAGGAAGTCCGCGCTCGTGCCGTCGCCCATCCGCGCGCCGGGGGGAGGCCGCCAGCAGTCGTCAGCGTCCATGGCGCCGTACGACCAGGGGGAGTCCGAGGCGACCTGCTGCGACCCCAGCTGGACGTCGCACACCACACCGCGCTCAACAACCTTCACGGTACTGCTTGGTGGTGCGGAGGGACTCGCGGTGATCATAGAGCACGGCTTGTCGTGCCTGCACGCTTCGCGATGCTGAGGATCGATCGACGGAAGCTGCAGGGAGCTCAGTGTGCGGTGAAACAGGAGGTGCTTCGCCATGGTCGTTTTATTCGCATTAGCTCTAGTAACTCTCTCATGTGACAGCTTGGAGTGGTGTCAGAGTGATGTAAGGGAGTGAACTCAGCTCGGCCAGCACTCAAGTGCCTGGGCTGGGCTGTGCTCGCCGCCTCACAGCGGGCCCAACTTGACTCATCGCGCTTGCCTCTCCCGCCGCTCATCTCAGCGCGACAAGGGCCACATGCTGCCCGCCCGATCCGACAAAAGCAGGCAGACAGGGGGACCACCCCGCTCTGGGTTCGTGGAAAGTGGTCAGAATGACGGCGTCATCATCTGCGCTGGGCAGCCCGGAGTCGAAAAAGTGCAACATTTAGTCATCCAGGAAAATGTGCGACCAGTCGACGTCCTCCACGTCGTCATGCCGTGGGTCCACCCAAGCAAGACCCTCGATACCTCCTAGCCGATTTGGTTTGACCCGAGCTCGTTGCACTCCAGGTCACCGCCACAAAAAATGGGACTTCCAATGGAAATATCTCGGAGGAACAACCAATAAGAATGAATAAATGGCGCAATGATGAAATATCGTATGATGCGATTGTTTAGAGGTCAAAGCACCGTAAACAATAGCGAGTCGGGTACAGCGTTTCCGTTGACCCACACAGCAGTGTGAGCTGACACTCAGCGCCCTGCCATGCCACATCTCGATCCACGGCAAGTCGCTAGATCGTGGTGAGATTCACGCTTACAGTGTTTTGGCCCATCCCTCCGATCCCTCCGATCCCTCTGATCCCTCCTCCCACTGCTTCCGCCCCAAAGCCTTCCCTTTTCCCCATCTCTCTCGCCGGACCCCGTCCGCTCGCGTCAACTCGGATCCCGGCATCTCCGCTATCCCCGTTCCCCCAGCGCCGCCACGATGAGCGGGAGAGGCGGCGGCGGGCGGCCGGCGGTGGACAAGGCGGCGGACTTCGCGAATTACTTCTGCACGTACGCGTACCTGTACCACCAGAAGGACATGCTGTCGGACCGCGTGCGCATGAACGCGTACCGCGACGCCGTCATGAAGAACAAGGCGCACTTCGCCGATAAGGTGCGATCGCACCGCGCTCATTGGTCACGTCGGATTGTGGAAGTAAGGGATTGTGGAAGTAAGGGATTGTGGAAGTAAGGGATTGTGGAAGTAAGGGATTGTGGAAGTAAGGGATGATCCGGTATTCTTAGCTGCGGCCCACGTTGCCCCAGTAGATCGGCAGTCCCGCAGCCGTCATTCCCGCGTCATCACGCACCCGTCGCGCTGCACGGCCGCGTCTTCCTGCTCTCGAACCACCCGCCCGCATTCGTCGCCGATGGTCCCCTCCCTCCACCCCCTCGAAGTCGCACCTCACGCGCTCGTCGCTGGACCCATTGCGCTGCTCCGATCCGTCCCCGCCGTCCTCCGCCTCCCCTTGTGCGCCATGCCATCTCTCTCGCCCGCACTACCTCTCGCCCTCGCCCTAAACCTCCCACTTCCCAACCCGAAACCCCGCCCCCCCTCCCCCCCGCGCCCCCAGGTGGTGTTGGACGTGGGCACGGGCAGCGGCATTCTCGCCATCTGGGCGGCGCAGGCGGGCGCGCGGCGCGTGTACGCGGTGGAGGCGACGGACATGGCACGGCACGCGGAGACGCTGGCGCGGGCGAACGGCGTGGCGGAGCGCGTGACGGTGATCCAGGAGAGCGTGGAGGACGCTCAGCTGCCCGAGAAAGGTGCGCGCGACAGAGAGAGAGAGGGGGGGGGGGGCGGCAAGCGTGTCATGCTTCGCGTCTTCTCGCGGCGGCACTCCCTCATTCTCCCTGCCCACTTCGTACCCATGCCCGTCATTCCCCTCATCGCTTTCCCTCGTATCCTCCTCCCCCCCCCACCCCCCTTGGGATGGCGGCAGTGGACGTGATCATCAGCGAGTGGATGGGGTACTTCCTGGTGCGCGAGTCCATGCTCGACTCCGTCATCGTCGCGCGCGACCGCTGGCTCAAGCCCGGTGGCTCACTGTCAGTGCCGCCGCTGGGGAGGGCGAGGGGTGGAGGGGCGGGTGGGGCTAAGGGGAAGAAGACGGGGATGGGTTGGGGGGAGATGGGGCGGAGGGACTTGGGTTGAGCAGCACCTGCAGAACGCTGCATTGCGGCAGCGCTGCTTGCCCCGCTCTCTGCCTGCTCCCGCACGCCTCCCGCCTCCTCCCACCGTCCCCACTCTCATCCCTTGTCCCGCCACCCCACACCCCCTTCCCCCCCCGCCCCTGGCGCATGCAGGTTCCCGAGCCACGCGCGCATGTGGGTGGCGCCGGTGCACTCGAGCCTATGGGAGGGGCGCATGGGCGAGTACCGCAGCAGCATGGGCGACTGGAGCAGCTTCGTGCGCGGCACCCGTGAGGACTACGGTGTCGACATGGCCGTGCTGGACCACACGTACGACGACGAGCAGAAGAAATACTTCCTCCAAGTAACCACCACGCACCCCTGCTCCACCCCCTCCCTCGCGATCCCTCTCACACTCCCTCTTACCCACTTCCTCGTCTGCTGCCTCTCATTCCTTAACCCCTCACTCACCTCCCTCGCCCTTCTCCCCCCTCTCCCCCTGTCCCATCTCTCCCCCCCCAGACAGGGTGTTGGGAGTCACTGTACCCGTCGCAGGTGTTGGGGCGGCCTGTGATGATCCATGAGATCGACTGCGCCACGGCCACCGTGGCGGACGTGGAGGAGGTGCGCGCTGACTTCGCCACGCGCACCTTCGCCGCCGACAAGCCTGTCAACGCCATCGGGGGGTGGTTCGACGTGCTCTTCAAGGTCAGCCGGCTTGCAGTTTCACATCCTTTTTCTTACCCGAATGGGCTGCATTGGCTGCTCGTGTGAGTGCTTGCAACCAACTCATCGGACGCACCCTCTCCTCTGACCCCTCTGCCGCCCGCACTGCTGTGCCCTCCCACTCCCCCCTCCATCACGTGCAGGGGTCGGCGTCAGACCCCACGGAGCACGAGGTGCAGCTGACGACGGCGCCCAGTGTGGACGAGGGCACGCACTGGGGCCAGCAGGTGTTCCTGCTGCCGCACCCGCTGGCCGTGCGCGAGGGCGACGACATGCGCGGCTCCATGCACATCCGGCGCTCCAAGAAGAACCACCGCCTCATGGACGTGGACGTGACGTACCAGTGCCAACACACCGACGGCTCCCTCACGCCCTCCACCAAAGCCGTCTTCTTCATCGAGTAGAGCTTGTGCCTTTGTTTCTGAATACCACGATATTGTATTCATTCCATTCCGTGCCTTGCGCCACCCAACTCCCACACCCGGGCTGGGCTGCATGCAGTTGCCCGATCACATGCCTGCTAGTTAGTCACTGACTGGGCTGACTTGTGCAAGATAGTGAGCCTTTTTTTACTGTAGGAGCGTGTTTCCAAAACGTGCTTTTGTATTGCTAGGAAGAATACCTGATAGTGAGTACAGCATGCCATCTCGTTCCTGGAAACCTATCTTGCAATAGCAGGCAGTACTGCCTGCCCATCAGCGCATCTTGCTGCGGCGGTGCTGCTGGTTCTTCCTCTTCTTGTACTCGCCTCTCTTCTTCGCCAGGCTCGCCCGTCTCCTTGCGTGCCTCTCGGGGTCCACCAGCACACTCACCCGCGCCGCCTCCCTCCTCCCCGCTGCGCGCCGCCTGGCCATGTCGCGCGCGGCAGAGAAGGCGCTGATGAAGGCGGCGGGGCCCACCTCGTGGCGCACGTGCTCCAACACCTCGCCCACCACACGCTGCACCTCCGCTGCCAGGGGAATGGGGGGGGGGGCAGGAGGAGGGTTACGGGGGAAGAGGAAGGGATGAGTGTGAGAATGTGGAAGGACGGAGGGGGGACAGGAATGATGCGTTGATGTGCAAAACAGTGCCCCACCAAAGGGCATGTACACAGAGCACTACAATGCACCGACTGCAGCAGCCACACAGGGCAGAGCGTGCGGCGTCAGGAGGGGTGCGGGGTGGTGGAGAGGGCCTCACGAGGGACGACGGCGCCAGCAGCGCCCTGCGAGAGGCGGAAGAGCGGCAGCATCACGTCCCCCAGGTACGGCTGCAACCCCGGCCCCCCCAGCGCCGATGCCAGTGCTGCCACACACCGCAGCGCTGCTGGCGTCTGATGGATGGGAGAGGATGAGGGGAGCGGTGGAGGGAGGGGCATGTGGGGCGAAGTGATGACAGGACTGCATGGGAGTGTGCATACATGCATTTGGTAGAAATCCGAAACATCCTGTGCATAGTTGAACTAAAATACGCAACCATGCAACAAAGCTCGTACCTGAATGGGCTTGACCTTGTAGGCCACACGAGCCACGGCCTTGATGACAGCACCCAGCGCTATGTGCCGAGCTCCCTCTGCTGCCGCCCCACTCCATGACCCATGGCCCCCATCAGGCCGCCCCTCCACTGCCGCATGCTCCTCCCCACTGCCCTCCTCCCCATCAGTCCTCTCTCCCTCATTCTGCTGCCACTGCTCCGCCTCATGCCCCTCCCTTGCCTCCCTGCTGCCCTCTGCTGCCCCACCTTCACTGCCCTCTGCTGCCCCACCCTCACTGCCTTCCCCTACTGCTTCACCCAACATGATGGCCCCATCCCCTGCACCACCAATATCAGCACCGCCATCGCCATCACCATCACTCACGCCGTTGCCCTCCTCGAAGTCTAGAAGGTCTGTTTCCGCACAGCTCTTCTCCTCTTCCTCTGGCTCCTCTGCTCTCTCGTCTGCAACCCCCTCCACCCCTCCCTCAGCTTCTCCTCCCATCTCTTCCTCTTCCTCCTCCTCCTCCTCCTCCTCCCCCTCATCACCACTGCCATCGCCCCTCCCCCTCTCCCCCTCTCTCCTCCTCACGCGCAGCAGCTGCCATCCCAGTTTCAGTCGCTCCCTGCCCTCCCCGCCAATCTCACACCCCTCCACCTCCACCACCAACCCCTTTTTCCCCTCCCCCGTCCCACCAGCAGCAGCAGCGCGGCAGGGCAGCAGGGGCAGCAGCGGGGCGAGCGCAACGAGGCTCTTGACGGTTTGCTGCGCCAGGCGGTCGTCAGCGGCGTTGCTCTCCAGCACGCGGCACAGGCAACCCGCCAGCACCACCAGGAACGACGGCTGCAACAGCACCTGCAGCCCCGGCACCACTGACGCCTGCCCCCTGCCCTGCTCCCTCTCCCCTTCTTCCTCCTCCCCCTCGTCCTGCTCGCCCCTCTCCACCAGCGCCCTCACCACCACCTTAAGACCCCCCTCTTCTCCACCCTCCGCCTTGCCACCGCCCCCACCACCACCAGCAGCGGCAGCAGCGGCGTGGGAGAGGTACATGCCCAGCAGGCGACAGGCGGCGGCTCGCACCCAGAGGTGGCGGTGCAGCAGCAGCGAGGGCAGCAGGCGCCACAGCGGGCGCATGATGCTGCTGTGGGCATGCGACCCGTCCCGCTGCACCACCTTCTCCGCCAGCACCAGGCACGCGTACACGCCCTTCCACCCCTCCACGCCCCCCTCGCCCTCCTCTCCTCCCTGCGCGCGCCTCACGATCCCCTGGGCCGCAGCCATCCACGTGGCCACCATGACACGCTGCTCGCCTGCCACGCCCACCGACTCCACCGCCAGCCCCAGCACGAGCGCCGCTGCCTGCTGCAGCTTGGGGGACGGGTCAGCCAGCCACGCCGAGGCGAAGCGCAGCAGGCGCGCGCATGTGGGGGGCTTCACACGCACGAACAGCGCCTTGAGCACCGCCGCCACCAGCTGCCGCACGCGCGCTGACTCATCGCTGACGAGGCGCGTGACAAGCGGCAGGAAGAAGGTGTCGGCCTGCGCCTCCACCAGCACGGCCGGGAAGCCGTCAATGACGGCCCGCATCATGCCCAGCACCGCCTCGCGCCCCGCCTGGTGCTCGTACCGCAGGTTCACAATGAGGAAGCTCATGTGCGCCTCCAGGCGCGCCGGGCCCAGCGGGTAGTCCAGCAGGAACGCCAGCAGCAGCGCGGCGGCGAGGTGGCGCACAGAGGGCGTGTGGGAGCGCAGCAGCAGGAGCTGCACGCGGTTCATGGCGTCGTACAGCTCGGGCACCACCACCTTGCGGCGCAGCAAGGCGCGCAGCACAGCAAACGCCGTGGTGCGCGTGGACGGCAGCTCCAGGTCCGTGAACACGGCACTCCCTAGCAGCGCTTGCACCTGCTGCTCGCTCACCCTCACCTCGGGGCACCGGTCCAGCAGCACAGCCAGCAGCTTCAGACACGAGTGCACCATGCCACCCGCCACTGCTGCCGCCCGCCCTGCCTGCTGCACTACTTTGAACGCTGACGTGGCGACGCGTGGCGCGACGGTGGCGACGGAAGGGAGGCGGCGATGGAGGAGGAAGGCGAGCGCGCGGAAGGACGCGGCGAGGATGGCGTCGTGGGGCGACGAGAGGGTGAGGGCGAGCGGGGGCACGAGGGCGTTGAGGCGCGGCATGAGAGCGGCGTCGGAGGCGGGCAGGCGGTCGTGCGAGGTGAGCGAGAGGAAGAGCTGCAGCCCCAGCAGCGCCACCACGTGCCCGTTGGGCACACCCTCAAACCCCAGCCCCTTCTTCTGCCTCCTCCGCTTCCCACGCCCCCCCTTGCCCTCCGTTTCTTTGCCCTCCATCCCCCCCTCCTCCCCCCATTCCTCCTCCACCCCTCCTCCCTCCTCCCCCCCCTCCTTACTCTCCCCCTTACCCTTCCCCTCCCTCTCCTCCGCCCGCAGTCTCTTCCTCTCTCTCATGGCGTCCCCGTGAGCCTTCTCCACGCGCACGCCCTCCCACAGCACCGCGTGCACCAGCACCAGCAGGTCGCCAGCTGTCGCATGGTGGTTGGCCAGCAGCCCGATGGCCATGTGGCGCACCATCTCCTGCACGTGCCGCTTCACCCGCGGATCCAGCGACGCGGGCAGAGCGGCTCGGATGGGCGCCAGCAGCACGGCGCTGCTCCTTGTGACGTCCACCAGCGACGCTGCGATGCGCACCGTCTCCATGGACCGGCTCTGCCGCTTCTCCCGCACACCCGCCGCCACCGCCTCCACGTCGCGCTCCTCCGCCACCTCCCCCAGAAGCCCCTCCACCGCCACCGCCAGGCAGTCCCCCAGGCAGTAGTCCAGTGCGCCGCGCGGCATGGTGGCGCCGTGGGCGGTGGCAACGTGCAGCAGCAGCGCGTGCAGTGTGAACCCCAGCACGTGCCGCTCAAACCCGCGCGTCAGAGCACTGCGCAGCACGCCTATCACGTACCCCAGATACGCTGGGCCGAGCGCCCCTGCCAGCTGGCAAAGGGCGGCACGGGCGGCGTCTCTTGTCCCTTGTGAGCGCGCCTTGAGCGGGTTGACGACTGTCTGCAGGAGGCGGGGGAGGTGCGCACGGATGGCGTCGGGCGACAGCAGCAGCAGCGTGCGCGTGATGGCCAGCGCCACGTGCGAGTTCACCTCCTCCCGCCCCGCCTCGCCTGCCACGAGGTGCTTGGACAGCTGCGGGATGATGTCCTTCAGCAGCACCTCCTGCATGCGCCCTGATATGGCCGCCTCCCTCCCCTCCTTGCTTGACCCTGCCACCGCCACCTGGCTGCTGCCCCCCTTCCCTGCTGTGGACTCCTCTCCACGCTCATCCTTGGCACCACCTTCTCCTCCATCCCCTTCCCCCTCCTTCCCCTCCTCACCCTCCCTCTCCCCCTTCTCTTCCTCATTCTCCCCCTCTGACTTCTCCTCCCCTCCCCCCACGCGCCTCACCTGCTCCAGCACGCCGCATATCGCCCGCAGAATGGCCCTCTGCCCCGCCGCACTCACCTCCTCGCCCCTCCTCCCCTTCCCCCCGCTGCTCTCCTCCCACCACTGCTCGCCCTTCTCCTTTCCCCGCGGCAGCAGCGCCAGCAGGCGGGCGAGCAGCGAGTGGAAGGCGGCCCACGGCAGGCAGCCTGCCATGGCGCCCAGCGCAGCGATGCACGCATCGATCACCCCGCTCTCGCTGTCGGGCCGCCCCTCCAGCAGCTGGCGCAGCAGCGGCGGCAGAAACACCTCCAGCAGCACAGCCTGGGAACGAGGGGGGTGGGATGAGAGAGGGATGTGAGGGTCAAAGCGGCAAGGTACTGTAGCGAGGCGGAAGTGTGATGCCATGGGCTTCACAGAATGGGGGATGGGGATGATTGAGATACGAGTCGCTGTCAGAAGTTTATTTCTAGGTGGCTTTATATCGAAGAATAAGCAGCGTGGTGTGAAGAATGTGCTGGCACATAAACAGTGTGAAAAGCGAATTCTGAAACTAGACCTACAGAGTGTGTTGGCATACCGGTGAGAAGTTGGCCATGGGGCAGAGCGAGGCGAACTTGGCGAGCGCCCGCACGCGGCGATGCGTCTGCAGATGCACGAGATTGTGGAAGAAATCCGCCTCCACGTCATCCTCCCTCACCAGACACCTCAGCTCTGCCACCGGTGACGTTGCACCCATGTGCAGCGCCACGTCACGCAGCAGCAGCACCCACTCCTGCATGATGGCGCATGGGGACGGTGAGGGGCGCAGTGGCAGAAAAGATAGGAGGGCATGGGACCATTGACATGGAGTAGCGGACAGGGGGAGGGGGGAGAGGGGGAAAGAGAGCGGGGGCACATGCATGTGGCAGTGACGACGCAAGGAGAGGTGGCAGCAGCCCACTGGCACAGGAGAGACGAACTGGGAGAGGAGTGATGGGAGAGGGCAGTACCCTGCGGACCACCACCACGGGCGAGTGGAGGCCCTTCTTGATGTGCCGCAGCAGCGCAGACTGCACCAGCTCACACGCCTCCCAACCACTCAGCACACCCCCTGCCTCCCCATCCCTGCCCTTCTTCGTGCCACCAGCAGCAGTGGGCGAGGGGGAGTGGGCGGCGAGGGCGGCAGCGAAGCGGACGAAGGACTGCAGGAAGTGGGCGGCGGAGTGGCGCAGGGACATGTCATCGTCAGCCATGTCGCGCACGGCGCAGCTCAGCAGCAGCACGCACCCCTCGCGCCCCACGCGCGCCACCGCCTGCTGCTGCAGCTGTGCTGCAGAGGGCGTGGAGGCGAGGTGGCAGTGCATGGAGGTGTAGGCGTGCAGGCGCCGCGTGTAGTCGTAGTCGTCTATGCGTGCAGGGTCGTACGCGCACAGGTCCGACACTAGCGACGCCTGCAGGTGATGCGGGCGTGGAATAGGAGAAGAAAAAACACCAAGGGGTATGACGAGGCAGACAGAGGGATGGATGAAATGCAGGCGGGCATAAGAGTGACTGCAGGATGAAATGCAGGCGGGCATAAGAGTGACCGGGGGGTCAAGATAACGCGGGTGCAAAGCGACCATCCCATCCACACTGCGCATACCAGCAGGCGCATGGAGTCGGAGGGGTGAGCGGCAGCGAGGGCGGAGAGAGTGTGCACGAGGGCCAGGCGGGCAGCCCTGTGCTGCAGGTGGGTGAGCAGCGGCGCGAACAGCCGCACACACGTGGCAGCAGCGGACGGGGAGAGCAGTGGCGCCAGGTTCTGCAGCACGGCCAGCACGGCGGCCGTGGTGCCCTCGTCCACGCGGCGTCTGCCGCCCGCTGCCTGGCGCAGGAACGGCGTGAGAGCCGCAGCCAACTGGCCTGCAAGGGCGGGCTGCGACACCATGCCCGCCATGCGCCCCACCACCGCCAGCGCCGTGCCCTTCAGCGCCCGCCCCGCCCCCTTGCTGCAGCGCCGTGCGCCATGGGGGGATGCAGAGAGGAGAAGGGGAGGGCAGCGAGACAGGCAAAGTCTGACGGCTATGGCATAAGAAGTGAGGCCTGGTGTGATCAGTGGAGCGAAATGAGCAGCCAGTGTAGTGGGGCGGGTGAGTGCAATGAAAGCGTGGAAAGCGCACAGAAGTGAAGACAGCCTCTCACCTGAAGAGCGCCCCCTGTCTCGCAATGAACTGCTGCATGTGCGGCAGAATGGCCGCCAGATGCCCCTCCACTGCCGCCCCTACCGCCACCCTTACTCCCTCCATCTCCCCTCCCAGCTCCCCCCCTGCCTGCGCCCACTGCAGCACCACCTCCCCCTCGTCCTCGCCCTCCTCGCCCTCCTCGCGCTCCGCCACCCCCCACGCCACCACGTGGCCGATGACACCCATGGCGGCGCCCACCACAGGCAGGCGCGCCGAGGGGGCGGAGAGCAGCGCGGAGAGTGCGGGCAGGGCGAGGGGGTGCTGGGCCAGGAGCAGCGCCAGGCGCGGCGAGCGAGACAGCGCCAGCAGCAGCGCCAGCAGCGCGGAGGGCTCAGCGGAGGCGGCGTTGTCCGGTGCCAGGTGGGCGAGCGCGGGGGAGAGGGCGGAGAGGACGAGCGGCCAGGGGCGCAGCGGGGCCGGCAGGGAGGGATGCGCGGCAATGTCGGGGAACTTGGCGAGGATGGCCGCCAGCACGCGCAGCGCCAGCGAGCGCAGCTCTCGTGCCCAGTGGGGCACGTGGGGGGAGGAGGAGGACTTGGTGACGATCGTATCGCCCTCCATATCATCCTCCTCCTCCTCTGCTGCCGCATTGTCCTCCTCAGCATCAGCATCAGCGCCAGCGCCAGCATTGCCGTCAGCAGCAGCAGCCACCGCTTTGTCCGCAGCGTCATCGGCTCTCTGCCCTTCCTCCGCTTCCACCTCCTCTGCATCCTCCTCCCCCTCGTCCTCGTCCTCCTCCTCTTTCTCTTCCTCCTCCTCTTTCTCCTGACTCCCTTGATCTTCTCCCTTCTCGTTGCTCTCTTGCTTTCCCTCCCCCTCTTTTTCCTTCCCCATCTGCACTGCCGCCCTCTCCCCCTCGCGCCCCTCAGCGTCCTCTGGGTGTCCCAGGGGCGCGTAGCACTGCACGACCCGGACAGCCGTGGCCAGCAGGGCGAGCACGTACGGCTGCAGCTGCTGGCGGCTGAACACGCGCACCAGGTCCACCGCCAGGTGCAGAAACCCGCTCACGCGCTTGTGCCCCACCATCCCCACCCCTACTCCCCCCGTCCCCTCCCCCTCTCCCTGCCCGCCCTCCCCCTCCCCCAGCAGCAGCAGGAAGTCCTCAGTCGCCCCGCGCCTCAGCGCCTCCTGCCACGCCTCCTCCCCCGCCCCTCCTCCCTCTCCCCTGCCCGCCCCGTGCGCGGGGTGGAAGGCGGGGCGGAAGGGGTCGAGCATAAGCAGGAAGAGTGGGAGCAGCTCCGAGGGCTGCAGGCGCGCCAGGAACGCCAGCACCGTCGTGCGCTGCACGCCCGCTGCCGCCTGGGGAGGGGGGAGAGGGGAGAAAGAGGGGGAGGCTTTGGAGAATGGTGAAGAGTGAAAGAAGCAGGGTGGAAGCAACGAGGTTCCAATGCAGGAGAGGTGGCCATCCAGATACCATTGTCAATCTGTCACGCTTTCAACCGCTCCTCGTCTCACCTTCCCTGCGAGCTGGCCACTCCTCTTCTCACCTTCCCGGCGAGCTGGCCGCTCCTCTTCTTCAGCTTGGGCAGCAGCAACCGGATGAGCACTGGGAACAGGGTCGCCCTGTCCACCTCCGCCACCCGCCCCTCCTCCTCGCCGTCCCTCGTGTCGTCGTCATCTGCCATGCCGATGTCCCACGTGGTGATCTTCTCCTTGAGCGACTTGAACGCCACGATGGCGCTCAGGTGCGCCGCGTACTTGGGCAGGCAGCCCTCGCGCCACGCCACCACGCAGTCCAAAGCCAGCTGCTGCACCAAGGGGTCGGGGTGCACCAGAAACCTGTGGGGCGGGGGGGGGGGAAGAGAGGGGAGGAGGAACATCTGTAAGGTGGGGAGGGCCGGTGGCATAGAGAGGAGGTGGATGGGAGCGGGTGGCAGCAGGAAAGGGGATGGCCAAGGAAGGAGGGAGATGGACGTGGCGGAGCGTGGCAGCACCTCTCCATGATCACATGCTTCACAGCTGTGCCCTTGGGACCAAACGCTGTCAGCTCAACGCGCTTCAATAGCTCCAGCCAATCAGAGAGCACCACGTGCCACTGCTTGCCCCGCACCATCGCTGTATTCACCACCACCCCCTCCTCGTCGTCGCCTTCCTCCTCCCCTCCCCCTTCCTCCCCCGCTTCCTTCACCTCCGCGTGCCCGTTGTGTGCTGTCGGCCTGCGGAAAAGAATCAAAAGCACGGATGGAGGGAGCACAGACGACGGCACAGGGCAGGTGAGTATGGGGAACAGGGGAGAAGGGGATAGAGGGGAGAAGGGGATAGAGGGGAGAAGGGGATAGAGGGGAGAAGGGGATAGAGGGGAGAAGGGGATAGAGGGGAGAAGGGGATAGAGGGGAGAAGGGGATAGAGGGGAGAAGGGGATAGAGGGGAGAAGGGGATAGAGGGGAGAAGGGGATAGAGGGGAGAAGGGGATAGAGGGGAGAAGGGGATAGAGGGGAGAAGGGGATAGAGGGGAGAAGGGGATAGAGGGGAGAAGGGGATAGAGGGGAGAAGGGGATAGAGGGGAGAAGGGGATACAGGGGAGAAGGGGATACAGCGCGCACAAGTGGAGGAGAGGAGGCACAGGCGAGGGAGACGAAAGGGACGAGCAAGGCAGCAGTGAGTGGGGCAGCAAGAATCTCACAGCTCGCCCTCAGAGCCACACAGGGAGTCATCCGCGCCGCCAACGAACGCCAGGAAGAGCACCGCCAGCTGCTGCCCCGCCGTCGCCCGCCCCTGCTGCTGCCTGCTGCTCGCCCTGTCGGCGCCGGCAGCAGCAGCAGTGAGAGCAGTAGTGGCGGAAAGACAGGGGGCGGGGCGCGTGGCGGCCACTGCTGGCGCTTGGCGGAGGGCGCGCAGGAGAGAGGAGAGCACCGCAGATGAGGGCGCTCCCGAGGGCGGTGGCAGGGCGGAGCGCAGGAAGAGAGCGGTGACGTCTGATGGAGGGGTTGGGAGGGGTGGGGAAAATACAGGGAAAACAATGGTAGTGTGGACGCACAGCCATGGATAGAGGGGGAATTGTAGAAGAGAGTTGAGGGACGAGAGATTTCAAAAGGAAAAGAGGAGAACAAATACTATTGCTCACAACACATTGGGCGGCCATGCTCACGGACAATACATCACATCCCCATGCTCACGGACAATACATCACATCCCCATGCCCACGGACAATACATCACATCCCCATGCTCACGGACAATACATCACATTCACATCCCCATGCTCACGGACAATACATCACATCCCCATGCTCACGGACAATACATCACATCCCCATGCTCACGGACAATACATCACATCCCCATGCCCACGGACAATACATCACATCCCCATGCTCACGGACAGTACATCACATCCCCATGCCCACGGACAATACATCACATCCCCATGCTCACGGACAATACATCACATCCCCATGCTCACGGACAATACATCACATCCCCATGCTCACGGACAATACATCCCATCCCCATGCTCACGGACAATACATCACATCCCCATGCCCACGGACAATACATCACATCCCCATGCTCACGGACAATACATCACATCCCCATGCTCACGGACAATACATCACATCCCCATGCTCACGGACATAACATCACATCCCCATGCCTTACGCCGCATGCCACCAGCACGTGCTGTGCCACGCTGAGCTGCCATGGCCCTCACCTGCACCATCCTCGCTTCCATCCCCCACCTCACCCTGCTCCCCTTCGCCCTCCCCCTCCTCTTCCTCATCCCCTCTCCCCGCCCCCTCCCTCCTCCGCCCTCCCTCTCCCTTCCCCCCTGCGCCTGCTTCAGCAAGCGCCCCAGCTGCGTCCAGTAGGAAGCTTCCTTGCAGGCTGCGCAGCACCCGCCACACCACAGGCCAGGCATGCGCAGGGTGGGCGGCGAGCAGCGCTGCGAGAAAGAGGGGAAACGAGAGCGCGAGCGGATGGGGGGGGTGCGGGGAGGAGGGGGGGGAGAGTGAGGGGCGGACGAGATTGAAGAACAGAGAGAGGAGGAAAGGGAGGTAAGGAGCAACGGGGTGCGGAGGTAAGGGCAGAGTGGGGGGGGCAGAAGGTAGTGATTGCCAGGAAGAACTGACGAGAGACTTCAACACAGACAAGACACCCACCGGCTAGGCAGCCAATGGCAGGCTGCCACATCATCGCAAACTTGGAATGCAACAGCCCCACCACGCAGCGAGTGACAGCTGGCAGCAGCTGGCTGGGCAGCCGTGCTGACGTGGCGTGAGCAGCAAGGGCAGCCAGTGCGGTGGCAGCATGTCGGCCCGTCTGCAGGTCGTAGGGGGCCGACTCCAGCGCTTCCACCTGGTGAAACACCTGAAAGCAACAGAGAGATGGAACGGGTTAGGGGATTAAAGTGTGCCAGCAAGCAGCGAGACATGGGCCAACGCCAATATTCAGGTATGGCAGCATACACGGCATGCCCTCCACGCCCCTCATGCCACCCACCAGACACGCCTCCACTTCCCCTGCTGCGCCTGCCACCGCCCCTCCCCTGGCTTGCTCCGCCCCCCTCTTCCCCCTGCCCCTCCCCCTCGCCTCTCCTCCCTCCCCCCCCACCGGCACAAGCAGGGGGGCGAAGTGACAAATAATGCGCAGTGATGACACGCGCATTTCACGTGATGGGTGGCAGAAGTTGTCCTGTAGTGCCTCAATCATTGCAGGCATGTGATTGGCTGACAGCTCAGGCGGGAAGGCAGGCAGAGATTCTGACGCGTCACCCACTTGGGCCCTGGTTGAAGCGAGGAGGAAAAGAGGCAGTAGGGGCAGGCATGGTGTGCCACGTGCATGAGCATAGGTTGGGAACAGCGATTGGGGGGACGTGAATTTGCTCATCAGGCAGGCAAAGGGCAGTGACGGGAGATGAAGAACTGAGTGGGGTCGCACCTGGGGAAGGCTTGCAGGAAGAGGGCGACGGCGGAGAGGACGGGCGGTGAGCGGCAGTGGTGGCGGGCGGCAGAGAGGTAAAGCGGCAGGTGCAGGGGCAGGTGGGGGGTGCAGTGCGAGGAGAGCAGCCACGAGTGCGTCTCCAGCGCCGCTGCCAGCACACCCTCTAGTGCACGGCGCCCCTGCTGCTGCTGCTGCAGCTGCTGCTGGCCATGGGGTGAATCCGTGCAGGCAGCAACAGGAGGGTGCGAGACAGCAGCCACTGCCTCCTCGACGCCCCCCTTGCCTTGCTGCCCTTTCCTCCTCTTGCTCGCCCTCCCCTTCTCCCCTCGCACTCCCTCCACTTCCTGCCGCCCCTCACCTGTACTCGCACCCTCTGGATCAAGGCACACGCCAAGCTGACGTGAAACGTCAGCGATTATGCGCTGACACAGAATCAGGTTATCTTGCCACGTCAGCACAGGCAGCGATTTCAAACACCGCACTGCCGCCCACACAAGAGCCTGCCTCTCACTCCCCTTCACCTCCCCTTCCCCTCCTCCTCTCCCCCATTCCCCCTCCTCCCCCTCCAGCAGCCCCCTCACCGCCTGCTGCAGCCCGCCCCTCCCCCCCTGCCGCAGTGTAGCGGCCGCAAGGCAGTCGGGAAGCTTCTCAGCAAGGTCCAGGAAGATGCGCAGCACAGGGGCGGGGTGGCACGCTGCCAGGCGGTTGAGCGAGCTGCACGGGGGGGGGATGGGACGAGATGCAGATGGGGGGGGAGAGGGGACGAGAGGGGGTGAGAGGGAGCAAAGTGAGAAGAGAAGAGATGGGAGGCAATGAGATGACAATGCAGCAGAGGTGGGAGGGAGAGGCAATGGGCACACCATGGCTGGTGGGGTGTGGGCTTAGTGCATCAGCGAGGGGCGAGGCAGAAGGGTGGCTACCGCATGATGGGTGGGAGGAAGGGTGGCAGCAGATGGGCGTGCAGGTGCACGAGCTGGCGGACGAACCACAGCACCCTGCCACGTGCCACGTGCCAGATGCCAGATGCCAGATGCCAGATGCCAGATGCAATGGCACACATGCACAAGGCAAGCACAAAGTGGAGCAAGGGGGGAGGGGAGAGGGGGGATGTACGTGGGGGGGAAAGGTGGGGTAGGGGATAACAGACGGATTAAAGGGCGTAACACAGGAGTGTGAAAATGCAGGAACGAACGAGATATGGATGAGGGAGGAGCAGCGGAATGGGGAGTGAAAGGCACGAATGTGAGCAGCGCCACTCACAGCGCGGCGTCAGCACACTCAAACAGCACCTCCCACCGCGCCACCGCCCTCGCTACCTCCACCTGCCCCTCCACGCCCTCCTCTCCTCGCCCCTCCAACCCCTCCGCCTCCTCCCCTCCCCTCCTCCTCCTCTCCCTCCTCATCACCCCCACCACCAGCCGCATCACCTCCCTCACCAGCCCTCGCTGCACCCCCGCCCCTCCTTCCTCCCCTCCTGCATTTCTCCCATCTACTGCATCCCCTGCTCCCCCTGCTTCTCCCGCCGCCCCCTCCTCCCCCGCCTCACTGTCTCCCACTGCCTGCTGCTGATCGGAGCCCTGACGAGGGACGGGGAGAGCGGGTAGGGGGGAGGAGTGGAGGGCGGAGAGGAGGAGGGGGTGGGAGGCGAGGGAGAGGGAGAGGGAGATGAAGGGGGCGAGGTGCGTCACGAGCACGGCTCGCCGGTGCTGCAGCACTGCGTTCACCAGGTGCAGCACGTCCGCCAACCGCCGAGCCTCCTCCCACCTCCCCCCATCACCACTCAAACCACCCTCCTTCCCTCCGCTCCTCTCCTCGCCAGACCCCTCCCCCCCTTGCTCGTCCGTGTCTTGCGCTTGGGCTCCCCCCTTCCCCCCCTGCACTGCCTGCGAGGCCGCAGTGAGCAGCAGGGAGAGCAGCGGGCCAGCAGTGGCTGGCAAGAGGTGGGCGGCAAGCAGGCGGACCACATGGGTGACAACTGTCAGTGCCACGTTAGCAGCACCAGGGACTGGAAGGAGGTGAAAGGGGATGTGGGGCATGGGGTATGGGGGGGATGTGGGGGGTAGGTGGAATTAAGGTTTGCGGGGGGATCGAGAGGAGAGCATACATGCATGTGATGTGCGAGAGCAATACATGCCGGTTGCCACATGCATTCACCACACCACATGCATGCACCGCACCACATGCATGCACCGCACCACATGCATGCACCGCACCACATGCATGCACCCCACCACATGCATGCACCCCACCACATGCATGCACCCCACCACATGCATGCACCGCACCACATGCATGCACCGCACCACATGCATGCACCACACCACATGCATGCACCACACCACATGCATGCACCGCACCATTCATGCCATGTCGTCCCATCATCCACCCATCCACCCACCCCCCCCCGCACCTCGCTCCCCCTGCAGCACCAGCGCCGGTGGTCGCAGAGACGAGGGCAGCAGCAGCAGGCGCAGCAGCAGCGGGGCGGCCTTGGAGTGCAGCGAGTGCGCGGGGCCCTTGGCGGCATGCGCCAGCAGAAGCGCCACGCCGCTCTCTCGCTCCTCACATGGCACCGCACGCGCCTCTGCCAGCAGCCACCGCACACCTGGGGGATTCATACAGCGGGCGGGTGGGGAGTAAGGGGGTTAAGTATCCTCCAGCAGCAACCTATGCACAAGAATAGAGGACGTTATGATGTATTTTGGACGGCTTGAGCCCAACACATGGTGCCATGCCTGTGTTGCCACAGGGCATTGAATACGACCCTCTCAGTCACCCCGTGCCCCTTCCCCAGCGTACCTTGCCCCAGTGGCCCATCCCCCACGCCCCTCCACCCTGCACGCACCTCGCGCCATCTGCTTGGGCGGCGCGTTGCGCAGCACGAAAGCGACGCTCTGCGCGATGAGGTCACGCACATAGCCCGCAGGGTAGAAGCGCAGGGGCTTCGTCATCCTGCCAAAACAACACACGGGGGCGCGCGTGCACGGAAGGGAGCAACGGTGAGTGAAGGGAGAAGGCGAATGGCAGCATGGTGGCGCTCCGGAAAGGCGGGGGGAGGTAGGCGCATTCACAACGGACAACGTGCGAGTGAGGGGTGCGGCGAGGGGCAGTGGGCACTGACTTGAGGAGGGTGACGACGTCCGGTGTGAGGTAGTGCCGCAGGTGCTTCACCATCTCGCCCACGCACTGCACCACCTGGGGGGAGGGAAGGGGGGAAGGCGGGGCAGAGGGGGTGGAGAACGCACAGGGGGCAGAGTGGAGGGACGAGGTTGGGTGGAGAGCTAAAGAGAGGGAACTGAAGGCTGTATGTGCTGAACCGCAATTGCAGTACGTGTGGAATGGCCTGCTGTAGCACTGCCTCTTCTCACCTGCTGTAGCACTGCCTCTTCTCACCTGCTGTAGCACTGCCTGCCTCTTCTCACCTGCTGTAGCACTGCCTCTTCTCACCTGCTGTAGCACTGCCTCTTCTCACCTGCTGTAGCACTGCTGCATCACACCCGCTGTAGCACTGCTGCGTCTCACCTGCTGTAGCGCTGCCGCATCTCACCTGCTGTAGCGCTGCCGCATCTCTGTCTGCCCCTTGTTGCAACAGCCGCAGACACGCATCCAGGCAGAGAGGGAGGAAGCTGCGAGGAGAGAGGGGAAAAGGAGGAGCGAGGAGAGTGTGGAGAGCACGAGATGGCGTGGTGGAGTGGAGTGGAGACACACACAAGGAACCGGTGCAAGAGTCCACGAATGAGAATCCACCATGAATCACACAGCGTGCTTCATGAGCATGCCCCATGAGCATCATGAGCATGCCTCATGAGCATGCCCTCATGAGCATGCCTCATGAGCATGCCCTCATGCGCATGCCCTCATAGAGCCAAGACCTTCTAATGCTCTGACAGCATGCCCTCCCAGCACGGCCCTATGCCCCCTGCATGCCCTCCCAGCACGGCCCTATGCCCCTGCATGGCCGCATGTGACTCACGGCAGGAAGTCGTGCTGCAGGTCCCGAGGGAGGGTGGCCAGCAGGCTGCGCGCACACGGGCGGGCAGGGGACAAGGGGAGACAAAGAGGGGGAAGGGGAGACAAAGAGGGGCAAGGGGAGACAAAGAGGGGGAAGGGGAGACAAAGAGGGGGAAGGGGAGACAACGATTAGTGATGAAGGACGAGTGAGAGGCGTGAGAGCGCAGAGGGCAGGGAGGGTTGATCCAAGGGATGCACCTGAGGATGGGTTGCAGCGAGAGGGCGGCGCGCATGTGGAGGCGGGCGAGCAGCGCGGCGACGAGGCGGTGGCGGTGGAAGACGAGCTGCGGCAGCGACGCCACCAGCGGCGCCACCTTGCTGTGCACCTCATTGAAGTCCACCGCCGCGCTCAGCTCCTGCGGCCAGGGGGCGGGGGGGGGGGGAGTGGGGGGGTGAGGGGTTGAGGGTGTTAAATTGTGAAGTAGGAGAAGCGTCCAAGAGGGGAAAGGACGAATCCGAGCTGAACAAACCCAAGAATTGATAGCCTCGGGCAGTGAGAGGAGGCAGCATTCGGTAATCCCGAAAGACAAGGATTTCCACACAGCGGGGGTTGAAGAGGGGGAGAGGGGAAGGAGAGGGGAGGAGAGGGCAAGGGCTGCGGACGGACCCGCCAGTGCAGCAGCGCCTGTTGGAAGAAGGAGGAGCAGCCGGGGGACGGCTGCTGCTGGGTGGGCGCGAGCGAGCGGAACACATCCACCTGCGCCTCCTCCACCTGCCGCGTGAAGCTCTTGAACTGCGCGGGGGGTTACCGGAAAGGCAGAGGCGCAAGGGGGGTTCAGGGAACACCAGGGGGGTTTAGGGTCAGGGAAAACCAGGGGGTGAACGGATTACGGGTGATGGCAACGGTTGATTTACGAACACCTGAACGCAGCGCCGAGATTCAGCAAATGAGTGGTTAGGTATGCCAGAAAGGTTGGATTTGAATGGTGACAACATGTCTGACGCTTGGGAAACGACTTAAATTCACACTCATCAGGCCATGATAAGAAACGTTATTTTTCCCTTAGCCTGATTCACTGAATCCTGCTTAACCCGATTCTAAGACTTCGTCGCCAGCAGCTCCTTGCACTAAGACCACGAGTCACTCGATTGTTAATAGATTAGGCGTCATGTCTGACTCACCCTGAACCGTCGGGAGGACTGCGACTGTTGTTTTCTCGTTTCCCCTTTTCCCTGCTTGCGTTTCCCCTTCTCCGCTCGGATCTTTTCCTTCGCCATGGCTACTCTTGATGCAGAATCCGTACGCGGAGAAAGCTGGGCTTAATAAGCGGTAAATCTGCGAAGGGTAATCTGCACGCAGTGACCTAACTGAACAAGCAAAACTACCAATGGCACCAGCTCCCGTTCTTTCGCAGAGTCATTTGATCAGCTGAAGGTATGACCAGGTTTTAGGGTTCATCCCCAAGGTTGAAGGCTTTGGGGTCAATCACCAGCAGATTGGCGATGAAATTGCATACACCATATTAGCTATCTGCTTTGCTGATTATCGCCCAATAGTGTGTTGTTTCCTCTTATAGAGCTTTCGTTTGAGCTTTTACATTTTACCTGCTTTCCTGTAACGTATGTAATGCGGATGGCAGGGTGAACTGTTTTCAACCTTGGTGTGAAGAATTTACCGTACAGTACCGCCAAATCTGACCAGCCACGCGCTTTATTGGCAGCTGGTCACGCGTGCAGAGCACGTGAATATCTTATCATAATTTCTACAAAAATGACAAACACGATTGCTGGGTTTCCTTGTCTCACGCTCGTGCGTTGAGGGTTACTGGAATTTGGTCTCCTCTCCATCAGTTTCTTTCGTTCTACGGGTAGTTTACATTTGGTTAAGCATTAACGGATGTTTCTCACGTGACTCCCATGATTTACGGACTTCCGAACCTCGGACCCCACAGGACTAACGGGTCTCAGGGGCTACCCCGATCTGGCGGGAGGGCTTTCGGCGATCTCAGGAGGACCTCCAGCCAACTTTCCTCCCCTCCTCGACAACCACGTCGTCCGCCCCACAGATCCCCACTCTTAGGGTCATTCCCTCACCTTGTCAGGGTTGCTGAAACAAGGTTTTTGACGGCTTAGAGCTCTACTCGGCATCAAAAAGCTGATCGTCCATGTAATCGTGTGGCTTGCTTGACACGGGGAAGAGTGGGCCGTTATCAATACTTCCGTAGGTTTTTTTGGGTGATAAGGGAAGTAGGACAGACCAGTTGCTCTGAGCTGCGAAACTCAGCCCTAGTGCCTTTTTCGGCAACCCATTGGCCCATCCCCAACGTCGAAGTACTGTACATCATCAGTATTGTGGTTGGCCTTGTTTGTGCAAGGTGATCTGACAACCTGTTGTACAGAACTGTACCCTGGTCTGATGAGTGCATTTTGGCTCGAAGTCGGGCCGAAAATCATTTGAGCACATCAATATTCGGGCTGCTCTGGTTGGGAACCTGGACCTGACGAGTGACCGATCCTCCATCCACCAGGCGAGCTAGTTCCGTGCTTGAGACCTTCATTACAACTCGGTTCATTTCAGAAGAGGATATTTACTTAAGAAAGCAAATTCTCTGGCTGGTTTCTCTGAGTGCTCAAAACTACGCAGCCAGCTTCTTTGCAAAGTTGAACAAACTGAGCAGCACCAGTTGGGTGCCTGCCCGCTCCATCCTCGCGACCACCTTGTTTCCGCAAGCCCGCGTGCTTCTCCCAGCTGTCTTCTCAGACCCGTTCTCTCCCACCTGGAGCGGCAGAGTGCACGCGCAATGAAAGCTGAGGAGACAACGCAGCACTCTGATTATTGCTGCCGTTGGAGGAGCGAGTTGTGCTCTTGCTGAACAGCGGGGATTCGTTGCTGTTTCCAGCTTGGTGCTCCTCTGCATGGCTCCTGCAGAAGCCCAGATTTGTGACCTTGCTGCAGAGATTGCTGCTCCTGCACTTGTCATTCTTCCTGATTCCTTTTTTTTTGGCTTGCAGAGAGGCCTGCTAACTTCCTCGTCACGCAATCAAAATTGCTGTCTAAGTTTGAGCTAAATCGTGTGATATGTGCATTTGATGTACGCTGTTGAAGTCCAAACTCAAGAGTGCACACTTTGCCCCTTCCCCGCGCGTAAGAGCCGCCTGCTCCGCCTCCATGGATCAAGTCATCACTGCCTCTCGGAGGTCCCTCACTCCTTGCGACCATGCAATCATGGACACTGTCTCGCTGGCCGCGGCTGCCACCCATTCGCCATCCTCGTGTTCACCGTCGGCTCGGAGCCATTCCCGGGGAGCACCGAATGACCGCCGGGTGTTGAAGCGGGCTCGCTCAGACAGCGAGCGGGGTGAGGATGACAGCGGCAGCAGGGTCGGGGAATTCGCCGCCACCGACGTGCTTCCGCCTAACCATCGCGCTATAAGCCGTAGCGAGCCTGTCAGAAGCTTAGATTCGGAGCGCAGCAGCGTAAGAGCGCGCGCTAGTAGTAGTACGGTCGACGACGAGCGGCTAAGGTGTGCGAGCGAGCCCGCGACTCCGAGTCTGGACGGCGCGCGACAGCACCACCATCGGGAAGCGGCGACGCAGCAGTCGAGTCACGCGGAGGCGGAGCGCGCGATGGGAGGCGCGGAGGCTGCTGCCATCGTGAAGGGCTATGCCACCACGCCGCGGGGGCAGGTTCACTATCGGAGGTAGGTCACTACTCAAAACAAGTGATACTTTCAGCCAACTACTCTCCTGTCCGGCGCGACGAGAGCCCGGGTCTCATGCTGTCGCCGGTTCGTGTGTTGCGATCCTGATGCGCTCAGGTGCGGGGCGGGCCATCCCATCGTGCTGCTGCACGACGCCGGCCGCTCGTCCGCCATGTGGTCGCCCGTGATGCCGCTGCTAGCGGCGCGCGGGTGCTGCGCGGTGGCGGTGGATCTACCGGGGTGCGGCGAGACGGCGGTGGCGTGCCGCGACTACAGCATGCTGGAGATGGGCGCCATCGCCGTCGCCGCCGTCATCAACGTCGGCTTCGCGCACCGCTTCGACCTCGTCAGTGCCTTTGCCCCGCCGAATTTCGTATCCCTTCAATTCCTCTCCCCGTCGCTGACTTGTTTTGCTTTTTCTGGCTGTCTTTGCCCGCCTGTCTCCTATCCCGCGAGCTGATTTCTGTTGGCTCACGTTCTTCCCCATCCTCCCCCTCCCTCAACCGCTCCTCCACCCCCACCGCTTCTGTCCCTCGCGGCATGCCCATCTCGTGCGTCTCCTGCAGGTGGGCCATGGCTTCGGGGCGACTCTGGCGCTGCAGATGGCGACGGTGTTCCCCGCGCGGGTGAGGCGGGTGGGGCTGTGGGGCGTGATGCCGCAGGACGAGCGGGCCAAGCAGATGGCAGCCGCCGTGCAGGCCGTGGGCGCGGCAGGTGGGAATGGGGTGGTGGGTGCTGGGGAAGCAGCAGCAGCTGGCGATGGAGGCGGTGGTGGCAACGGTGGCGGTGGCGGGGCTGCCGCGGCCCCGCAGAGCGTGGTGGCGGTGGCGGTGCAGCAGATGCTCATGCGCAGCACAGCGCACCATGCACCGCTCCATCAAATCGTAAGCTGCCTCCCTCTGCCGCGTCAACCACCTTCTGAGACACCTTCCGGGCATCATTTTGTTTGCAGGTTCTTGTGCTCAGGCAACCTGCACCCTCATTCATTGCCCCTGTCCCCCTGGTCCATCCTCCCCACAGGTGGAAGCGGTGATGGAGGGCCTGCAGTCCCTGCCCACGCGCCACCTGCTGGCCAAGGCACATGCAGCAGTGGACCACGGTGATTTGCTAGACAAGGTGCAACAGCCCGTGCTGTGCCTGGCGGGCTGCGAAGACCCGTTCCAGTTTGAGACCATGATGGCGGCGTCGCGCATTGGCAAGGGCAAGTACTACCACATCAACTCAGCGGGCGGCGAGGTGCTGCACACTCACTCGGAGCAGTATGTGCAGACGGTGATGGAGTTTTTGGGGTCGCAAAGCTGATCCTTGGATTGTGTAGGATTAGCTAGGATGTTGCTTTTAGTTTTGATTGTTGTGCAAAGAATGAGGGTTCACAAGAGCTCATAGTTCTCTAGTAGTGACGCATAAACCACAAATGCGTACTCTATCGAGTTCTGTGTCCCGAACTCTTCACGCACCGACTCGCCTTGCCGTGATGTGGCGCACACGTGTGCATTGCACGAGAAAGGATCTCTCCAGCGTGGAACCATGAGGTGTTGGCACGTGGCACCAACATCAACACCAGCTCCACCTGGTCCCTGAATCAGCCCCCGTTTCTGGTACGGCACTGCCGCTTCAAGAGTTCATCTGCAGGCACTTTAGACGCAACATCCACCAGTCCGTTCTTGAATCATCCGACATTCCATCCTTCCAATTCAAGAACCTCCGTTCCCTGTCCTTCAGGTCAGTCACCTGCTTCCCTCCCTCGCCTCGCTTCATCTCTCGCCTTCACCTATGGCTGCCGCTACCTTGTCTTCTGCCCTGCGTCTCACCGGTGCCGCGTGTGCCGCGCGTGTTTCGCGCTCCTCCGCCCTCCACACAGCCGCTGCCTCTTTCAAGCAAGGCGCCCCAGCCGCCGGATTCGCCGGTACCCGCCTCCGCAACATCCGACGACCTGCGACACCCGTCTACGGTCAGACGACTCAGCGACACATGGCGACGGTTGCGACGATTAAGGTCGGCGACAAGCTGCCCGACGGCAGCCTGTCGTACTTCGACGCTGAGGGCGCGCTGCAGAGCGTCACTATCGAGTCGCTCACCAAGGTGCGTGTAGCGCGGATGTCGCATGCACCTCGTGCTCCTTGAATTGGTGGCGATGAAATCTAGAACAGGAAGTCTGCGCGATTAATCGACGACTGAATCGTGAGTTTATGGGGAATTGTGAGAATTCTTGAACGCATTGGCCGTCCATGCGCGCACACAATCCTATGACGACACGATGGTCCTTCCGCCATGTCATCTCCCCCTGCCATCTTGGCCAACCACGCCCCTCACTCCGTCTCCATCCTCTTCCGGCTCCTCCTTCCCCCCCCCCCCCTTCCCCACCCCCAGGGCAAGAAGGTGGTGCTGTTCGCCGTGCCCGGCGCCTTCACGCCGACGTGTTCGCAGAAGCACCTGCCGGGCTTCATCGCCAAGGCGGACGAGCTGCGCGCCAAGGGCGTCGACACCATCGCGTGCGTGTCCGTCAACGACCCCTTCGTCATGCGCGCGTGGGGCGAGTCCGTCAACGCGGCCGGCAAGGTGCTGCTGCTGGCGGACGGCAGCGGCGTGTACACGGCGGCGCTGGGCGCTAGCCTGGACCTGAGCGACAAGGGCCTGGGCGTGCGGTCGCGGCGGTACGCGCTGCTGGCGGACGACGGCGTGGTTTCCGTGCTGAACCTGGAGGAGGGCGGCGCATTCACCAACAGCAGCGCCGAGGACATCCTCAAGGCGCTCTAGACGCGCGGACGGCTGGAGTGGAGTAGACGCTGGGAGGGATCCATTAGTGGGAGACAGGGAGATCATTATGTCTATACCATAATTGGGCTTGTAAATTCTGACCACCTTCAAGTGGTAATGTAGCCCTTGCCTAAACTGACTGTACTAGGCTACTAGCACCAGTGAATCCCTTGCTACATTCCTTGAACCGGTGCCCTGTGTATGTGCATTCCAACCATAGTGCTTCATTTTCCCTGCCATTTGGCAAGAAGTATGTTGCACCTAACATGCGCGGCAGGCAGGATGACTTGTTCCTCACTAGACAATGCCTCATCCTACCCCTCATTCCGAGCCACCGCACTGCAACTCGTGCAATCCTATGTGGAACCTCCATTTATTCCCCTGCTCTGCCAGCACGTCGTCAAATTGAGATAAATCAGCTTGCCAGTACACCATGCATGGTCAGTTTTCACAGGTGTGCAGCAGGCGCCCCACAAGATGCCTGATAATGTATTTCTTCATCATGCGGTATGTTAGAATGACCTCCCACTCGCCCAGCTCCCGCACGAACACCTCGCTGCACTGTGACACGTCCTCAGCCCCCTCCGCCCCCTCTGCGCTGCCGTACAGCACAAGCACCTTGCATACGTGCACCTGCCGCCACAGCTTGAGGTCCTCTCCCAGGGTGGTGGGGAACTGCTTCAGCAGCTGCTGCCCTCGCTCCACCAGCACGTTGCCAGCTGGCGGCAGGGCGTCTGACACGTCATCGTCCACGAAGCGCGCCAGGTCATCGCAGGTGGTCTTGGGGTCCTTCATCCACCCATACTGCAGCGCCACCTGCGCCACCTGCGCCAGGTCCGGCTCTGGGCGCCCGGCGCACAGAGGTGTGGGGAGAAGGGGGAGAGGGGAGGGAGGGGGGGGGGAAGAGGGGATGGGGGGCAACGGCACACATGAAATGGGGCGCAGTGTGCATGGGGGTGGGGGGGAATGTTGCACCAGCAGCAGGGGGGGGGGCAGGCAGGCACGGGAGGTGGCGGCACTGACTTCGGTTGTTGGCGATGAGCGCGTGCAGCGCAGCGAAGGCGCCGAACAGACGCGGGTCGAATCGCCCGCCGAACCACGCGGAGAGCGGGGAGCCCTTGTCCATGCGGTACTCAAAGCGCTGCCGCACATCGGCGTACAGCGGCGCGCTGGCCTGCTGCTGCACGTGCGCCTCCACTGCATCAAACGTGCCCACCAGAGGCGTCTGGGGAAGGAAGGGGGTTGGAGACAAGGGAAAAGGAGAGCATCACAGGGGAAAGAAGGGTAAAAAGTAAGAAGCGAGAGTCATGTCTCTCTGTATCTGGGTGGCAAAGGTGCAAGGAACACAGAGATGCACACGTGACAATGCAGCAGGAGCAGCTTGACCAATCACATGCACTCGGCCCCGCACTCCCTTCACCATCTGCCTCTACGCTCACTCACCCGCGCCAGTGTGTGGCCGTGGCCCCTCAGAAACGTCTCCACGGGGAAGCGAACAGCCGCCTCCTTGGAGGGGAAGAGGTGCACGTGGTCACGGTAGTTGGCCGGCAGCGCCATCGCGCGCATGACCAGCGCCTCGTCGTTGCCCAGCTCGCCGTAGTGCACCGCCACGTGCTGCCCCACCGCTATGTCCACCAGCGCCGTGAACGTGATGCTGTCGCCCGTGTCCTGGCGGGGGGGGGAAGGGAGCGCCGGGATGGGGGGTTGGGGGCAGTGCTGCTGAGCTCGCAATCAACACCCCCTCACCATGCAACCGGCCCCCTTGATTGAGTCAAGTCGCAACCCTCTGACCTGCCACGTGGCAAGCCCCTGACCTGCCAGATGGCGATGGGCACATCGTCGGTGTCGAACAGGTCGCCAAACGGCACCAGAGCGATCTCCGCCTCCTGCCCCTTCACGTCCTTCCCCTCGTTCCCTTGCTCTGCTGGCTCCTCAGGCGTCAGTGCGAACATGCGGGAAGTGACGATGCCTGCTGCCCAGAAGAACTCCTCCTGGGTGGCATTAGCGATGGCCTCTGGGCGGCACTTGTTGTACTCTTGCAGGAGCACCTTCTTGTGCTCGGCAACCTGCGAGGGAGGAGGCAGAAGGAAGGAGCAAGAGTAAGGGAGGATGTAGGGGCTCAGCTCAGGGGGCGGTGGCTTGAGGCATGTGAGAGAAGCAGCAAAAGTGTCCTTGCATGCGCCACAGTAGCGACAGTCCCTTGGCATCGACGCCATCACGTACTAGACTATCCCCCCATGCCTCCCATCTCACTGCACCGCCCACCTCCTGCGCATCCCAGGCTACTGCTACTCCGCTCACCTCGGCCAGCATCACGTCGTACTGCAGCTCGGGCACGAGGTCGTCTCTGAAGAGGTGCGGGAAGGGCAGGTGCGCGGGCAGCAGGCGCACGAACGGCGCCCACAGGGACGCACGGCCCTTGGCGCGCTCCCTCAACACCCACGCCGCCAGGGCCGTGAACGGATGCACCTGGGGGCGTGCGGGGGAGGGGATGCGCATGTGGGGGACAGGGGGGCGATTGCACCTGGAGGGGTGGGAATGGCGGTGAAGGGGCAATGAGAGGTGCCGTTTACCAGCCCTGCTTTCTGCATTAGAGCTACACTACTTTCCACGGCAGGTCGCTCACTCACCTCGCCCTCATACGGCGTTGCATCCTCCTGCGCGTGAGCGGCGGACAGAGCGAGCGACCGAGGCAGCGACAGAAACACTTCGCCCTCGCCGATGGGGCGAGCCGCCACCATGCGCAGGTTGGCCCTGTGGTGGGCGGAGGAGGGGGAGAAGGGAGGGGTGGGGTGCGGGTTGGGACGGAATGGTTGAGGGGAAAGGGGGGAGGGACAAAATGACAAGGTAGAAATGAGAGGTGTGGATGGCAGTGTGGGAGTGAGTGAGGGGTGCAGTGGGTGGGTGAGTGGGTGAGTGGGTGAGTGGGCGAGTGGGTGAGTGGGTGAGTGGGTGAGTGGGTGAGTGGGTGAGTGGGTGAGTGGGCGAGTGGGCGAGTGGGCGAGTGGGTGAGTGGGTGAGTGGGTGAGTGGGTGAGTGGGTGAGTGGGTGAGTGGGTGAGTGGGTGAGTGGGCGAGTGGGCGAGTGGGCGAGTGGGCGAGTGGGCGAGTGGGCGAGTGGGTGAGTGGGTGAGTGGGTGAGTGGGCGAGTGGGCGAGTGGGTGAGTGGGTGAGTGGGTGAGTGGGTGAGTGGGTGAGTGGGTGAGTGGGTGAGTGGGTGAGTGGGTGAGTGGGCGAGTGGGCGAGTGGGCGAGTGGGTGAGTGAGTGGGTGAGTGGGCGAGTGGGCGAGTGGGTGAGTGGGTGAGTGGGCGAGTGGGTGAGTGGGTGAGTGGGCGAGTGGGTGAGTGGGTGAGTGGGTGAGTGGGTGAGTGGGGGAGTGGGTGAGTGGGTGAGTGGGTGAGTGGGTGAGTGGGTGAGTGGGTGAGTGGGTGAGTGGGTGAGTGGGGGTGCAGGAGGGACGGCACGGTGGCGCTGCAGCGACGGCGCTACTGCATGGTCGCGGCACTGCATGGCCTTCGCTTGCATTGACGGGCCTCACCTGGAGCGGCCGGACGCCTTGAGTGTGGTGTTGGCGTCAATCACCACCTGCACGCGGGCGAGGGCGGGCGAGCAGGAGGGGCGATGAGCGGGAGGGGCGATGAGCGGGAGGGGCGATGAGCGGGAGGGGCGATGAGCGGGAGGGGCGATGAGCGGGAGGGGCGATGAGCGGGAGGGGCGACGAGCGGGAGGGGCGATGAGCGGGAGGGGCGATGAGCGGGAGGGGCGATGAGCGGGAGGGGCGACGAGCGGGAGGGGCGATGAGCGGGAGGGGCGATGAGCGGGAGGGGCGATGAGCGGGAGGGGCGACGAGCGGGAGGGGCGATGAGCGGGAGGGGCGATGAGCGGGAGGGGCGACGAGCGGGAGGGGCGATGAGCGGGAGGGGCGATGAGCGGGAGGGCGGGCGAGCAGGGGGGGGGTTAGGCGGGATGGAGCGCCGCGATCACCGCGACGAAGGGGGCAGCCGGGCATGCGCCCAGCGCGGGAATGGGCATGGCGGGGTCCTCGGTCTCACCTCCACGGCCGCCTCCTCGCCTCGAATCCCTCTCACGCCGCGCCCCTCCAGCCACGTCAGCAGCTCCTCCACCATCCGCTCCTCCTCCTCCACCCCCGCCAATTCAGGATCGAAATTTGCTGGCGCCGCCGCGTCTGTCGCCGCATCTGCCGCCGCATCTGCCGCCGCATCTGCCGCCGCATTCGCCGCTGGAAGATCCTCAGACGAAACGAACTGATCCGCTATCCCCTGTCCGCTGGCCCCCATTCCCATCCCCGCATCCATCACCCCCTCATCAGCAGCGGCTGCGGCGGCTGCAGCGGCGGCGACGCTCGATTGCGGCGCATCGCTGCCGTCCGTTGGTTGGGATGCCGAAGCGGAGGGGGCGCGGAGGAGGATGGCGGAGATCACAAGCACCAGGAGGAGCAAGGCGGGGGGCGACACGCGGCGCTGCATGGCGGCGAGTGGCGGCGATGGGCGACGGGTGGACGCCAAGGGCGGGGAAGGAAGGAGGGCGCGGTAAATGCAAGACGGGAGGTGAGTGAGGGAGGATCGAGGCGGAGACGAGTGATCATGGCCGTAGCGAGTGCGTCTGGATGCGATGGATTCGGCTGAATGCTGTTGATGCAATTGTTCGGGTTCAGTACATCCGCGCTACAAGCAACATCGGTGATATATATAAAAAACGCATTTCTACATTTCTAAAAATATAAGCTCCTCTCTGACTAGCGAGGAGCACAACACAACATAGATGGAGTCCCTTAAGCACGGGGGGCACCATCACACCCCACACCTCAACTAAGTATCCACCGCCTTGCAGGGCTGTCATGCACCGCCTCTGCAGGGTTGGAATGCACCGCCTCTGCAGGGTTGGAATGCACCGCCTCTTCAGGGTTGGAATGAACCGCCTCTGCAGGGTTCACCCCTGCGTGCCCGTGCCCGTGGAGAAGCGCATGTGGTACGTGCCGATGTACTTCTCCGCCAGCCGCCGCACGTCATCGCCCTCCTTCACGAGGAAGGCGGCGGAGCGCGCTCCCCCGTGGCGCTCCATGACCTTGCGCGCCGCCTTGCCCGCCACCCATCGCCGCTGCTCCGCACTGATCACCCCGCTGCGCTCCAGCGGCCGCAGATGCTCGCGCACAAACAGCTCCACCTGCCCGGGGAGGGGGCGGGGGGGGAGGGGGAGAGTTTGGTGGGGGGGATGTGAGCTGGAAAAAGTGTGAGGAGGACAGCTGCAGATGGGAGCTGTGCAGTAGAATGGTTGCATGGTTGCATTGCAGCGCCTGGGTGCAGCGGCAGAGGAAGCAGTGAGAGGAAGGGGGACAGGGGTTGGGGGTGTTGAGGCAGAAGCGGAATGGGGGCAAGGCGCACCTGTCCTAGTACGGGGTCTTTCATCTTCTGCCCCTGCTGCCCCGATCCACTGCTGCTGCACGTCGGCACGGCAGTGCTGCTGCTGCTGTGCCGCGCCACCACACCCACCCCGCCCCCACTGCTGCTGCTGGCCCCACCGCCTCCACCCTCACCCGCACCCCTCCCCACCCCCTCACTGCCGCTCCCACCAGCAGCAGCCAGAGAAGCCGGAGCGGCAGGGGAGGCACCTGCCACTTCTCCCTTGGCGATTTCCTTCTCCCCACTCCCCTCGCTCCATTTGCCACCCTGGGCGCCACCTCCCCTGCATGCACCTGGACTCGCCCCACTCTCCCCGTCCAGCACCTCCCCTGCATCGCCCTCCCCGCCCCCAGGGGCACGCACCATGTCAACCCTCACTTCTGCAATCGCCCCTCCCTGCCTGTCGGTCCTCTGCCCCTCTCCCTCCGTGCCCCTGCCCTCCACCGCCCCCCCTCTCAGCTCCCCCCCTGCTCTCTCCAGCACAGCGGCCACATCGCCTTCTGCTTCTGACGCCGTCGACACAGACGAGTCCGACGCAGGGGGGACTGTGGCCGGCTCTCTGCGTGCCCGTGGGCTCGCTGCTGCTGCTGCCGCTGCTGCACCGCTTGGACCAGCAGCAGCAGCACCACCAGCTATGGCAACAGCCTTGCTCTCAGCTCCTATTCTCTGCCCCTCTCTGCCCCTCTCTGCCTCACCCACTTGTTGCTTTCTCTCTGCATATTCCTCTCCCCCTGCATCCTTCCTATCTGCCCCAGCATCAAACTTCACATGGTCACACCCGCCCCCGGTCTCCAAAGCAGTAGCAGGTATCGATGACTCCCCACCCCCCTGCTGCCTCCCCTCCTCTGCCGCCTCCCTCCCTGGAGATCCAGGCGGCGAGGGCCCTTCCAAGCCTGTGGCTCGGAGGGCTCGGGCCACCGACGCCCGAGCCAAGGCATCAGCTATGGAGAGCGGCCTACCCTCATCAGCAGCTTTGGTTGCCGAACCTGTTGGCTTGGTTGGGGATAGTGCAACTTGGACAGAAGAACCAGGCGACCAGAGAGGAACCGTAGAGGGGGCAGCTTCAGTAGCGGGCGTGGAGGAGGAGGAGGTGAGGTTGGCGGCGGCAGCAGCGAGGGCGCGCGCGGAGAGGGAGAGGTAGAGGCGCTTGTTGGGCGCCTGGGTGAAGACAGCGCGCTCTGCCACCACGCCCGCCGCTATGGCTGCTCGCGTCTGCGCGTTGCGACCAATGGCGGGTGGCGGGACGGCACGCAGATGCCGCTCCACCCACCGACTCACGTGCAGCTGGTGGGGTGGAAAAAGGAACAAAGGCCTACATTACCGCAAGCAGATTTTTACAGGGTACAAAGCTGGCCAAGGCAGCGATGATGCAGCACGCGCACACAGCATGTGGTTCAGCACGCGCACACAGCATGTGGTTCAGCACGCGCACCTGGCGGACGGGAGTGGGCACGCGGCTGTGCAGGTTGACTGGGACCTCTGGGCGCATGTCGTCAGGCAGGCGCAGCAGCAGCTGGAACTCACCACTGCCACCACTGCCACCGCCAACACCACCACTGGCAGCAGCAGCACCCCCACCATTATCCGTACCCCTGCCAGTGGCACCCGCAGCAACAGCCGCAGCAACAGCAGCAACAGCATCACTATTGCGGACAGCAGGAGTGGCAGCAGCAGCAGCAGCTGATTTCCCTTCTCCTTGCTCTCTGTCACCTCCCCCTTCCCTCGCCCCGCGACCACTGCCCCTCCCCATCCCCCCTCGGCCCCCACCTCCTCTCCCCCGCCCTCCACCTCGGCCTCTTCCCCTCCTGCTTCCCACCTGCAGCCTCATCTCCCCCAGCGCCTTCATATCTGCCTCCCCCAGTCCCCGCCTCGCCAGCACCTCCAGTGCCCTCCTCTCCGCCTCACTCTGCACTCTCCCACCCTCACTCGCTGCCTCCTTTCCCCCCTCCTTTTGCATGTCCTTTCCTCCCTCCTTTTGCATGTCCTCCTCGCCCTCCTTCTCTGCCTTCTTCTGATCCACACTCGCTGCTTTCCCCCCAATCCCCCTCGCTCCCCCTCTCTCCCTCCCTCCTGCTGCTTCACTCCCCCCACCCGCCCCACCAAGCCGCTCTCCTCGCCCCGCGGCCAACTCCCCCTCCACCTGCCTCCTCTTCCCTGACCCCTCCCCTCCCCCATCCAGATCTCCTGCATTCTCCTCTCCTTCCTCACTTTCGCCCCTCGCAGGACTCCCCTTCCCCTTCACACCACGCGCAGCCACAGCCCCGTCCCCACTCACAGCGCCAGCACTCGCTGCTGTGGTCTCAGGGGCAGCAGAACGCGCGGAGGTATCAGGGGTGGCAGCAGCAGGCGCGGTAGCAGCAGGGGTGGCAGCAGCAGGCGCGGTAGCAGCAGGGGTGGCAGCGGTAGGGACAACCACGGCAGCGGCGGCAGGTCGGGAAGGAGGTGCAGGGGCATCAGCAGGCCGGGGGACATGGGAGGTGGTGGCGCAGCTAGCAGGTGGGGTGGCATGAGGAACAGAGTCTTCAGCGTGGGGACAAGTAGAGGCTGCTGCTGGCGTACGGGATGGTGCTGGTGCTGCTGCATGTGATGCTGGTGCTTCGCAGGGTGATGATGCTGCTGCTTCGTGTGCTGCTACTGCTGCTTCTGCTTCGTGTGATGCTGCTTCTGCTGCTTCGTGTCGTGCTGGTACTGCGTCACGGGATGCTGACGCTGCTGGCATGCTGCCATCAGCACAACGAGCGTCATCATCAGCCGTACCAAGAGCAGGATCAGCAAAGGCAGCGTCATTGCTCCCTGCACATCTTTCCTCCAGGCCCATCTGCGTCCCTGCCTTGCCTTCGTCCCTCCCCTCCTCTCTGCTCCGCTGCCCCCCTTCTTCCCCCTCACCCTTACTCTTCTCCTCCTCGCCCTCGCGCTCTCCCTTCTTTCCTTCACCATCTGCTCCCTCCTCCTGCCCCCTTCCTCTCCCGTGCATCACTCCCATGTCACATGCAGCTGGAGGGGCAGGAGCGGCAGCAGCATCACCGTCAGCACTAGTATCAGCAGCACCTGTAGCAGCAGCATCAGTATCAGCAGCACCTGTAGCAGCAGCATCAGTATCAGCAGCACCTGTAGCAGCAGCATCAGTATCAGCAGCACCTGTAGCAGCAGCACCAGTAGCAATGGCATTAGTAGCAGCAGCACCTGTAGCAGCAGCATCAGTATCAGCAGCACCAGTAGCAATGGCATTAGTAGCAGCAGCACCTGTAGCAGCAGCATCAGTATCAGCAGCACCTGTAGCAGCAGCATCAGTATCAGCAGCACCAGTAGCAATGGCAGCAGTAGCAGCAGCATTCGTAAGAGCAACATGAGTATCAGCAGCACCAGTAGCAGCGGCATTCGTAGGAGCAACATGAGTAGCAGGGGCAACAGCATCGGCACCACCAGTATCAGCAGCACCACCGTGAGCATCAGTATCCCGTGGCCCAATCGCAGCAGCAGTAGCAGCAGCATGAGGAGGAGCCGAGGCAATGGCAGAGGGAGCCACGGAGGGGTTTGGCAGCTGTCTGAATCGCACCTCCACCACGCCGTCGCCCCCTCGTGACACCACCGGCTGCCACCGTGCCCGCTTCCCTCTCCTCCACTCTGCTGCCAGGCCAACCCCCTCGCCCTCCTCCCCTTCCCCCCCTACCTTCCCATTCCCCTTTCCCTCGTCTGCCCCCCCTCCTTCCTCCTCCCCGTTCTCCTCCTCTTCCTCCTCCCTCTCGTCCCCCTGCGTCCCTCCAGCCTTCACCTGCCCACCACCTGCACCTCCTCCCTCGCGCACGTCCCCCTCATCCCCACTGCCCTCTGCTGCCGCCTCCCCATCGCCACCCGCCTGTCTCTTCCTTCCCCTCCCTCTCCTTTCAGCCGGCTCGCCTTCCCGCGTTCCTCCTTCCTTCTCTCCCATTCCGTCATCATCCTCCCCTTCTCCCCCCTCTTCCCCCTCCCCCTCCCCTTCCCCCATGGGGCGGGGAGCCACACTGGTGTCAGCCAGCCACAGTACCCTCACCTCACCCTCCCCCTCCCCACCTCTTCCCTCTCCTCGTCCTCCCCTTCTTCTTCCACCTCTCCCTCCCCGTCCCCTTCCCCTTGCCCCCCCCCCGCTGCCCGTGCACAGGTCCGCCAGGGTCCTGCTCTTCCCACCACCCACCCCGGTGCCCTCCACGCTCACCTCTGCACCAAACTCCAAGCGCCTCCTGCCCGCCGCCCTCTCTGCTATGGCCGCCCGCACTGCCAGCTCCTGCCCTATCGCCCCCGCTGCTGCTACCCCCCCTCCCCTCCCTCTCCGCCTGCCCCTCGCTGCCCGCCCCACCAGCCTCTCCCTCACTGCATCCAGCCTCACTGCCCCTCCCCTTCCGCCCCTTCCTCTCCCCCCACTCGTCCTCGCCCCTCCACCACCCGCCCCTTGCTCCATGCCCTCCTCCCCATCCCCACAGCTACTGCTGCGCCCATCCTCGCCCTCCTCACGCCCCTCCTCCCCCCGCCCATCCTCCCCCTCCCCTTGTCCTGCTTCCTCCTCCCCCTCCTTGTGCCCCTCCCCCCCGTCTCCCCCTTCTCCCCCTGCGCCACTGCTATCAGCGCCCCCTCCCCCCCACGTGCTGCTGCGAGCGCCAGAGCGTGCGCGACGGCGCATGTAGATGCGACCGCTAATGAGGGGGGCGTGGCGGGGGACAGAGGGGGCGAGCAGAGCGGCGGCGAGAGCACCTGGTTCCAGCACTGCCAGCGGTGCACCTGCAATCTCCGTACATCTCGTCCTGCCCTCCCCTACCTCCTCCCCCTCTGGCTGCTGCTCCTGCAGCTGCTCTTTCTCCTCCTCCCCCTCCTGCTCTTTCTCCCCCCCCCCTCCTGCTCCTCCTCCTGTTTCCCCTCCTCATCCCGCCGCTCCTCCTGCTGCGCCTCGCTCCAATTTCCTGCCTCCTCTCCGGTCAACTCCTCTTCCTCCTCCTCACCCTCCTGCCCTCCTCCCTCCTCCCCCCCACCGGCATCCATCTCGCCCCCACCCCCCGCCTCTCTGCGCCGTGGGTCCAGATCCAGCCTTCGCAGGGGACCATCCGCACTCTCCTCAGGAGAACCCTCGCACCCGCCTGCTATGCCGCCCACACCCTCCACGGCCTCTGTCTTCACAGGCTCGGGAACGTTCCCCAAAACGACCTCAGGAGCGCTGAAACCCAAGATGCCAGGTTCACTCGCTGCCACAAGCGCAGCAGCCTCTGCCGTGGCAGGCTTGGCAGCACCAGGCGCTGAGCCGTCCGCCTTTGTGGCAGGGCATGTCTCTGACCCCGGCGAAACCGGCCGGTGGAGCGCTGTAGCCACTGCTGTAACATCGTCGCCCTCTCCTCCCTTGCACGCCCCTTCTCCTCCACTCAGCCCGCCAGCAGCATCCCCGCCCTCACCACCACCATCACCCAAAGCCTGAGCCTCCAACCCACCACGAACGCCCTCCTCCTCCCTGCCGTCAGCAGCGCTCGCCTCCGCCCTCCTCTCACATGCCTCCTCATCCCTCTCCTCGCCTTGCTTCCGTGCCCTCGCCTCGCCCTGCAACACACTCTGCTCCCGCCCTTGCCTCTCGTCTCCAACGAATGCACCCCCGTCTCCTTTCTTCCCCACCCTCTCCAGGCCCCCTTCGCCTCTGTGTGCTTCGTGTCCTGGCTCCATCGCCACACCAACATTACCAGCACCCACAGACGCAACGCCACCACCAAGAGTGCCAGCAGCAGGAATGGCCGCACCAGCAGCAGCTGCGGCTGCAGCGGCAGCAGAGAGGGAGGCGAGGGGGAGGCGGGAGGAGAGGCCGATGGGGAGGGAGAGGGCGGCAGGGGGGATGGACGGGCGGAGGAAGGGGGCAAAGGGCAGGGGCAGATGCGGTGCCAGGAAGGGGAGCGCAGGGGGGGTGGGCATGGGGAAGGGCATGGGGAAGGGCATGGGGAGCACGGGGCGAGGGGATGCAAGCGGTGGTGGTGGTGGCAGTTGCATGTGGGACGGCTTGGGGATAGCCAAAGGGGCCTTTGCAGTGGAGGCGAAGCCAGGGGGGAAGGACAGGTGGTTGGAAGAGGGCTGCTCCCCCCCAGTGAGGGCGCGATCGGGGGAAGGCGTGCGTTTTGGGGGGGAGGACGGAGTGGGGGAGGGGAGGGAGGAGGCATCGAGAGGGTCGGTGCGGGGGAGGAACAGCGAGGGGGGGAATGTCTTCCAGGCCTGCCTGCATGTGGGAGCGGCAGGCGAGTCAGGAGGAGCAGAGGAGGGCGCAGGGGCGTTGGGCAGAGGAGGGCGCGGCGACGGTAGGAGGCGGGCCGGTGGGGGAGGCAGAGGGAGCATGGGGGTGGCAGCAGCAGAGGAGGGAAAAGGCTGCATGGTGCTGTGGGGGGGTTGCAGCGGCAATGCTGCTGCGTGTGGCTCACTGAGAGGACCCCCAATCGGTGAGGGCAGGGTGGGGTGGCAAGCGAGGGCGTGTGGCGGGGCAGGGGACAGGAGGGGAAGGTGCGGGGGGTGCCTGGGGGGAAGAGGGGGGGTGGCGACACGGAGGGGGGTGGCGGGGGCAGCAGCAGCAGGCACGGCGATGACGATGGGCGGTGGGGCGGGCACGTGGTGGACGGGGGGCGCGGATGCAGCGTGGGTGGAGGGAGACAGGGAGGGGGCGGCAGCAGCAGGCAGGGACGTAAGCGGTGGTGCACGCGACAGCCACGGGGGTGGCGTTGAGGCGGGGAGAGAGTGGGGGAGCACACACGCGCTGGGAGGGGCCTGCAGACAGAGAGGGAAAGAGAGAGAGGCGGAATTGATGGAGGGTATGTGAGCAAGCAAGCATGTCCGCCTGCTCCCTCCGCGTCTTGGCTACACCCAACCTCTGGACTGCGCCTGACACACTCTCACTGGTTCTCTGTCGAATTTCACTCCACCTCAAGTCATATGCCACCACCCCATATCACATGTCACCCATATCACATGTCACCCATATCACATGTCACCCATATCACATGTCACCCATATCACATGTCACCAATATCACATGTCACCAATATCACATGTCGCCCCATATCACATGTCACCCATATCACATGTCACCCCATATCACATCACATGTCAACCCATCCCACATGTCAACCCATCCCAGCGTCAACCCATGCCATGTGTCGCCCCCATGTAGCGAGCTGTATTCCAGCATCTCGCGGAACCCCGTGTGTCCGATTTTTGAGGCGCCTCAAAAACAGCATCTCGCGGAACCCCGTGCGTCCGCGGAATTTCCCTCTTTCTCCACTGTGTGTGCTTGCTTCTCTACAACTCGCAGCGCTGCGAATCCGCTCTGTGATTTATGATGTTTCTGCTGCGAACCAGAGGACACGAGGGGCAGCGTTCGAGGCCGAGAGACTGGATGTGCGGTGCTGGCGGGAGGGCCATGGCTCCACACCGGTGACGGCGTGATTGGCGGCGACGCCGCGAAAGGGAGCGAAGCTGACGCCAGAGGTGCAGGCAAACGGCTTTCCCATGGGACGGAGCAGGGGCTACCTGCGGGCCGCCGCTGCTGTGCGCTGCCAACCACGCACCTGCCCGTCGCCGCAGCCGTCACGAGCTGCGCCGAAGCTCGGATGGACCACCCCGCCGCCATGCCCGCGTGCGCAGCGGTCGCCTCGCGTGTGCGCGGGGAGCACGGCGGCCGTGGGGCGGAACAAGGACGGCTCGTCCTCGTCCGTGCTCCACCCGTCGCCGTAATCGACGCTCGGATTTCCCGTTTCTTCTCTCAACTGGCTGTTTTCTCGTCCCATGGCAGCCATCCAGTCGCCTGCAGATTCCCGCACACTGGAATTCACAGGCGGATTAGGGTTGTGGTAACCCTAGACCGTGTCGTGTCACTCGATGTCAACCAGAGTGTGCTTAGATCTTCTGGCACCGTTACACATCTGGAAGGAGCGGAAACCAAGATGATGTAGATAAGTGGTGGTTGGAAGGGCCAGGGAAATTCCTTTTAGCGTTTCTTTGAGGAGTTAGGGTTAACACCTGAGGCAAGCGCATGCCCCGCCACACCCTAGATTGCACGCCACTATACTACTACTCAGTCGACTGTGGCCCAGAAGACATTCCCGAGGGTGACGAGAGAGCAAGGCCGTGCGTGCTTCACCACTCAACGGCCTGTGTGGTTATGCCTGTGGAACGAAACTGAGCTCGCAACAGAAGCCATGAGCCAGAGACACCGAAATTGATCTGTGAGGCATGTTCGAGTGGTGTGTCCCTGCTGTGTCTTATTCTGTCTAGACTGGTGCCTCTAGTTTCCAGGTGGTGAAAACACGTTAGACTTATGACATCTTTGGCCACACCTCAACGTGGTTAGGCTAAGAGAACATTCATTCAGAGATCGTGCACAATACTATTGCATACGCTCGAATACTTCACGATTTTCCTAGTGCTCACCCCCTTACACAAAAGGGTGGGTCTAGGAAGAGTGCGAGGAGATCCCTGTAAAGGTTTTCACTAACCTCGTAGATAACATGCCTAGGAGGGTGCAAGTGGTGATCAAGGCCAACTGTTGGCGGACTAGGTACTAGAAACGCTACGTGAAAGTTTGCTATTTGTCCCGGGAAATAATTGTCCGGATGTACTCTTTGTATATCTTTTGGCACTAAGTTAGATCCAGTGTACTATCATGGATTTTTGTGTTGTGAACACGTCCACTATGTGCCCCTCCCAAAGGTACCACCATTAAACATTAAGACTGTATGTATAGTGGTCGGAAAGCCCAAAAACCCTAATTAATGCAAAACATCCTGACAATTGTTTCCGTCACTGTAGTAGCATGGAGCAGAGATGAGGCACGGCCTCAGACAGGAACTCAAGCTTGTACTGCCGGTCCACTAGGACGTCGCTGCCAAGGGCAAGAACACCCCCGACGGACGAAGGACGGGCAGGGCCAGAGACCAGAGCGGTGGCGTAGTCAAGGCAGTGGGTACAGGCAAAGTCAGCGACGGCAGCGACAAGAGCGTCAAGAATAAAAGTCGGGACGCGTCGAGAGGGAAACCAAGAAAGACACAAGGGACGGTGCGGGCAGTGAGCTTGTCCGTGCCAGAGGCACAAACGTGAGCAAGGCAGCCCCAGACGTGGAACGCAGACGTATCACCAGGGAACCCGATCCAGAGAAGGGCCGGCGAAACCTGCGAGCGCTGGGAGTGTGTGTTAAATTATATATTGAGTTATATAATGTGTAGGCTTGGTAGATTAGATGTTACTGAACATTACTATAGGGGGTACAACACCCCTCCTTGTATCCCCCTCTCTTATTTCCTAATTCTCTTTTCTCTCACCAACTTTCCTAGCCTAAAACCTCTCGCCATATCTATGGCTCCTCCTCCTACCTAGATCCTAGTTTCTAACATGGTAACAGAGCCGGTTCCCTTCCCGGGCCTGCTCCCCTCGCTTCCGCCGCGCACTCCCTCCCCGTCATGCCGCGCTGGCCTCGTCGCGCCGCGCTGGCCCCGTCAATCCGCGCTGGCCCCGTCGCGTTGCACGGGCCACGCGTCCGCTGCGTTTTCGTTCCCTGTTCGCCACCGTCGCGACCTTCCTACTGCCTGCCGCTGTGGCACCTTTTCCAAGTTGTCGCGGCGACCCTTGTGCGCTGTCGTCCCAGCGTCGACGAGCAGCCGCGGCGACGACACCACGCTGTGGTGGCGTCGTCGTGATGCCGTGGCTGTGTCGTCGGCCTGGTATCGTCGCGCACCACCTGCGTCGCTGCTGGATTTGCAGCCCGCCCGCCCGCCAGTAAGCGCCGCGCCAGCAATGGCGCCGCACTGAAGATCCAAAGCTCCGCCCCTTCTCCCTTCCCTCCGTCCCCTCTTCGCCACAGCCGTCGCCTGACTCTCGCCGGTCGTCCCCCTGCCGCGGAGTATGGACACGCCGTCGGAAGGGTGGGGGCCGCTGCCGTTACCGCCGTCGTAAGTCGAAGTCGTTGCCGTCGCCGCTGTCGTCGCCGCAGGCCTGTTGCCGCCGCGCGCCCGTCGTCGCCGTCGCCATCTCCAGGGCCTTGGGGTTGGCCCTGCTATAGTAGTCGTGGCTGTTGGGAATGGGGGTGCTAGGTTAGGGGGTGTGGGAGTGTGTGGGTCCTTGCTACCAAGCCTAGGGGGTGTGTTAAATTGTATATTGAGTTATATAATGTGTAGGCTTGGTAGATTAGATGTTACTGAACATTACTATAGGGGGTATAACACCCCTCCTTGTATCCCCCTCTCTTCTTTCCTAATTCTCTTTTCTCTCACCAACTTTCCTAGCCTAAAACCTCGCGCCATATCTATGGCTCCTCCTCCTACCTAGATCCTAGTTTCTAACAGTGTGGCCTCATGTTAAGCTGGTGAGCGGCGTTGCAAACAGCGAACGGCCACAGAAAATAGGGTGCATCGGCATGGATCATGGAGGTACGAGCCTCCTACCTCCATGACCAAACCCATTCGTCGCTCAGCGACCAGGCCTCTCGATGTCCCCGAAGGGCCCCCTGCAGAATCCGAGTTAGTCGCGCAACCAACTCGTCCAAGGGCTTGGTTGGGGGTAACGAGTTTGAGTTAGAGAGGCTTGGTTGGGGAAGCTGCAACATCCAAACAGGGTCTGGCGCGCTTGCCGGAAACCCAAACGGGCCACTTGGGATTTCGGGAGCGGTTTTGCCCGAATCCCTTCCTCAACGGAGAAGAGGGGTTTCTAGCTGGGTAACCAGGCCTTACAGACGGATGTTACAGTGCGATACATTCCACTACTCAGAAATCGAACGTGGAATGTTGTTGCCTAGTCTGCTAGTGGACGTGTACTTCAAATCTGGATGTGTAGAAATCAGGATAGTATACCAAAATTACCCTATTTTTCTTGAGTAAGCAGTGTAATTACCCGAACATCGAGAGGCCTATCAGCGACCCCATTCTGTTGCGGGGAGTCCGGCAGGGTGTACGACTGGATGATGCCCTCCGCACGACAAAACTGGCCAAGCCGACCGGAGGCGAACTCGTCGCCGCAGTCGTAGTGAAGACGCAGCACAGGGAGGCCGCAGTGGACTCGCGCAGCTACGACCCACGGGATAATAACGTTAGGCATGTCAGCCAAACGCTCTTGGGGAAACACTGTGGTGTAGCGCGTATAATCGTTGACAAGCATTAGAAAGTAGCGCTCTCGACGCGATCCAGGGACCGGGGCTGGCCCCCAAACTTCCAGGTTCAAGGTCTGGATTGGTGCAGTGGTAGGGGGAAGTGAGGAGGAGTGAGGGGCACGGCGCAGTCGACCCTCGACGCAGGGCGTGCACGGTGGCGCAGACGAGGGAGGTAGGGCAGGGAGCAACGCAGGGAGACCGAAGACAAGACCGTGATAGGACATGTGATGCAGACGCGAGAGTACTGGGTGACCTAGGCGGTGGTGCCACAACAGCGACAGGTGGGTGAGCGATCGACACGAGCAAACTGCAGCAACCTGGGAGAGCACGGCGACATGAGGGGATGCTCCCATCGGGGAGGATGCGGTGTCTAGGGTGAACAGGCCAGACACGGAGTCTCGAGGGAACGTGGAAAGAGGGGCACCAGTGGCGGCCTCAGTACAGATTGCGTACCGCTCGTGTCCAGGGAACGTAGTGGTGACGCCGAGGTCCTGAAGACATCTGACACCAACTAGGTTCCTCGAGAACGAGGTGATGTGCAGGCCTGTAAGAGGGCCCGAGGGAACCGCTGGACATGAAAGGGTAGTGGAGCTACGAGCAACTCCTGGACCTGACGAGGGGTCAGCAAGCGCTATGGCGGCAGGGGCAGCAAGCGGCGTGAGCACAGTGTGGTCGCGAAAGTAGCAGGCAGACGCACAAGAGTCTAGCGTGATCGAGAGCGCGATGGTAACAGGCGAAGGCGAAGAAGCGAGGGTGGAGCCAAGGCTAAACAAAGTAGGTGGTCCTACGCCTGATGCAATAGGGGAACCTACACTACACACAGGGGACACACCTATACTATGCAACACCGGGTAATAGGGTCCAGTCACACTAGAGTCATCAGCATACATGGCATACAAAGCAGACCTCGAAAAGAGGGACACGACGACGCACCAGGCTGTACCAGCCAAGAGGGTCCGACACGGGGCCAAATCGGAGACAGAAGAGGTCATCCAGGTGGCAGTAGCAGCGGGCAGCGGTGTGCCCAGGACGGTCGCAGACGGTGCCACGGCTGGGGCCGGACTGAAGCTAGTACTGGCAGGTGACCACACAGGAGCCGCCACCCGACACCGAGCTGCGCGCCCCATCACCACGAGGACCACCACCAGCGCTCCCAGGCCACCACATTGGTGGGGGTCCCACGGCGACTGCTGCTGCGGCTACAATGGCAGCAACTGCTGCTGCTGCTGAGGCTTCTACTGCTGCTCCGAGGCACCAGCCCCGGTCCCCTCGTCTGCCCACCGTCCCCACCCCCACCACTCCCACCACCCTTCCCTCCACCACGCCCCCCCTTGGGGCGGTAGCCCTTAACGCGCTCAGGTCGCGGCGGTAGGCTCAGCAGCAGCAGAATTGTCAGCGTAAGTGCACTGGGAGGGAGCATAGCCCTGGAAGATAGGGACCACCACAGTACCACTAGACTGAGCGATAGTGCGCTGGCGGATCTCTATCGCAGGCAGGGCGGTGACAAAGACAGTAAGGGTGAGGTCATCTGGGTGCTGTCTAAGGAAGTGGTCGCGGGCAGTGGCTAGGTGGTCAGGAAGGCGCGCGGCTATGAGGTAAAGGGTAGCGCAAAGCAGCGTCGGGAAGGTAGTGAGCTGTGCCTCAGTGCTAGCGACGCGGTAGCTAGTCTCAAGTGCGCGGAGGTGAGTGGCAAGGTCAGCGACAGTCGGGAAGGACGCAAGGTCATGGAACAGCATGGGGAGGATCAGACGGCCGACAGAGGCTGAGGAGGGAGTGGAATAACGCTCGACGATGACATCTAAGTATTCCTTGGCGTTTGCTACATCGGTCAAGCGGGGACGCTCAGACAGAGGGAGGGCGTGACTAATGGCAAGCTGTGCAACGGCATCGCGCGAGTCCCAGACAGCACAGGCAAGCTTAGCAGCAAAAAAAGCCTCACGCTCAGCAGACGTGGGGGCGTCAGGGAGGGCAGCGGGCGTGGCGGGGCGAGGGAGCTTACCGTCGACATGGACGGCCAGGGAGTGGTCGTCCTGGCGCTGACTGGTCAGCTGGCGGCGGAGGTCGACGAGCCACGCCTCAGTCTCAACAGCCCAACCC